CTCGGCGAGCTCCGGTCCGGTTCGAAAAGTTTTACAAATCCATTGCTAAAAGCGATGCTGTTCGACCAGAAATAATAACACATCTCTTCTGATTGTAATTGATAAATTGTAAATTGGTTAATTTCGTTAGTCATTTATGTATAGTAAATAATTGTAATAAGTTTATTTCGTTAGCATTGTAAACTTACATTATCCATCTATCACACTTATTCTGTTACATACCTATATTTTATCAACATACGTAACACCCTCTCACTTCATACATACACTAACAAACACAACATGCAAAAATTCACCTAAATAGACACTAATTGTAAGTAGACATAAGTTAGCTTAGATATTTTTACTTATTGTAACCTGGAAGAGACTAGTCACCCACGACACAGGCTTGCCCTAGTGTGGGGACTAGGGACTTTCGATTCTGCACCGTGTATATGGAAACAATAAAGATTTTTTGATCTTATACAAGATAAATACCTGCCTATCTAGTTCTAGACTAAAGTGAGGCTGGATAAGATTAGATATAAGAATTCTATAGGGCTCATAAACTACTCTTCTTAGTTACGAACCCATCTATGCGGGAGACCACAACGTTGCCAAAACGTTCTGCCCAATAATTAAGCGATTTATCACGAAGTTAGTTGTATAACTAGAGCAGCACACGCCCTAATTATAGCGACGTCAAGCCAAGACCTGGCTGGTTGACGCGTAATAGTGGAAACAAGCCGAAATATAACAGACAAAGTTAGAAGTTTTGACTCAAAATTTCGTGAAATATAACGAAAAATAATGTAATAAAAATAAAGGCAAAAACATAGAACTGCTCGCACTGATTTCTTCGTAAGTAAACAAAAAGCTAAACTTTCGCAACTTCATTTCTTGCCAGTTGCTTGGTTTCCTTTTGATTTCAATAAAAGAGTACGCGAAAAACAACAAGCGAGTAAAGGAAGAGCGATTTTCCACCTTCCCGCTACGGCATAGGGCTCAAAATGTATCGTGTCAACTTAGCGAAAATTCGCAGATAGAGCCAAGAGGTACCAGGCGCAAATAACAAGTGAAGAGTATGGCATTGTCAGTGTGGCAACAGCGCAGTTACGTAATGATGCGCGGGCGGCAGGGGACAGGGTGACTGACCTGCATGGTCCGCTCTTGCCAATTTGCGCATCACGAAATCTTCATTGCATACGATACGAAATTATGGCACACGGTTATAATTTTATATGCTCTGCAATATTCTGCGAGCCCGGTTTGATCGTTTCCACGAGGCGTTTCGCTGAAAATTACGAGATTACAATTACAGATTCACATGGTTATTAAAAATAATACAACATTCTAATAGTCGTTGCTTCTTCAGCTAAGACATGATTGCTATTTTAAAACTACTGTTTAATAATAAAAACGGATATACACATATATCTTAAGATTAAAGTGCTCACTGAAGGCTCTAATAGTGGTGCACTTGATCTTGAGAATTACCTTGTGCTTTTAAGTATTCTGGAGAACTTCCGCAGAGTCAAATATCTGATAAACAAAACATAATTGTGACAGACAGTCACGACTTCTTTGAAACTGGCCTTCGTTCATGCTTCATTGAGAAGCAATTTTGAATGTTACCAAATTTCATTCAAACTCTTCCATAGATGAGGTAGACTTTAATTTCCTACAAAATTTGTGACTCACGAGTAAAGAAATACGTTATCTTAATAACGTAATTAACACTATTACGGCCTAGTTCTATAAAAAGCATATCGACCATATTAAATGTGTTGACAAAGAACAGACCTTGATCGAATCTAACTAAGGATTAGTTGTTTTACTTGTCTGCTAAAGTCTTGATATTATGCGAGACACTATTTAATCAAACTTAATCGCAATATGCAGTTTTAAAGCCTAAACCTTGAAACCACTTCCACTTCTTTTTAAAGGTGATCGACACTATTTTAAATTATAACGTGTGAGTCAAGTACGATTTGTAGAACCCGCCTTAAACTGAAGTAGCGATGGTGTTGGTAACGACAAATACAATTCAATCTGAGATTAAAATCAAACGTTGCGTAATATCTGATCTAGATGTAACATTGTAACAATTAGAGATGGAAGTCAACCTAAATACTGGGAATTGCACAACGACACGCTCCTATAAGCAGAGTCGACTCATTTAGATGGAACCTTTCAAAAAGCGAGTAAACGGTAAAGGGGGACATGTCAATGCGGTTCTCGCTAGACGTAAAGTGGAGCCAAATTTGGCACAAGAGCTGCGGCTTCGCGACGTGCATATCACAAGCGATACGTCGCCACTTCGCTGGGCGTAAACAACGTTGCGTCATTCTTCGTCCCAAACTAATTTACACCTACCGCTGATTGCGATAGAGTTACATTCGCGACAAACACTCGAATAATACGTTTATAACATCGTTATAAGTCGCGCGGAGCTAGTTAATTTTTTAAAGCACACAATTTCATACTGCGCAGCGAGACTATACGTGAAAACGAGCGTGACGTGATATTCAAATATATCTTTTTCCTGGTCCTCGGGATTTATATTTGTAGTTTAGACGACAGAATTTCATGATTTTAAATGTGTTGCGACCTTGCTCGTTGTGAAAAATTTTGTGCTCCGTTGTTGTTTGTCGGCTGAAACTGGCAAAAACGTCACGTTATCCCGACACGAGGCACGAGTCCCGTGACACGTGACAAAATGTTGCGTAAACTGTTTAAAGCAGCTCATGTCGTATTAAGACACATGGTAAATTTATCACGGAAATTTATTCCTAGGAACTGTTTTTAGTAGGACGAAATTATCATCCAGAGGTATTCCTATTTCGTGTAGCTGTCGCAGTTTTAACATTTAAACCAGGGAAACTTTTCCATCTAGTATTAATTTAAAACCAGTATGATTTTGACCGTCAATCAGTCTTTCGGCCGCGATCACGTGTTCGTAGTTTTGTAATGGACCTGTTTACAGTGGTTGCGTGAATAAAATATAAAAATGTCCACCTGACATCTGTGACGCAATATAGAAGCATTTGTATAGTATCGATTGCATGTAATATGTATTTGATACTGTACGCAAGGCGGCTTGCTAGATCAGTGGTAAAATAACTTGTAAATAATTTACAGAGTATGACAGAGATCGATAAGAGCAACTTAATTTTTAAATATGAGATGCATGTAAAAAAAAGTAATAAAATAAAATCCGTATTGCGCAATTGCTGTTAGGGTGAGTCATCCATCATTTCACAAATCGCTTATGAAGGCATAAATTCACCAGCGCAACTAATAGCGCTTAGACCCTACGACTGAAAACAAAAGCCATGTAGGCAGAAGACAGCAATTCGGTTGGCGTGTAACGAGACCCCGCATTACTTTCAAAACTGGCCCAGATGCTGGTTAACGGTACCAGCGCGAGACAGATGCACCAATGCTTAAATTCGATCCGAAAACTATTTCTGCACGACTTGCTATTGCTTTGACCCCGACGATCGATAAACAGGCAGTATGCCGGAAGAACTGCCTAATCTCTTATATGTTATGTACCTATCCCAAAATCGGAAACGATATTCCAGAACTGCTTATTTCAATCAGTTCAAAGATAATCTGAAATACATCCTTTAACTTACACCACGGTACACAATATATACTCTACTTATAGAATTATAAGAGTCTATAACATAACTTTTGACTCTTTTAAAGACGCACTACACTATAAAGAAGACTATTATTTTCCAGTTTAAACAGGCCATCACACCTTAAATAATGGACATAATGTTAGCAATGTATGACTTATAGTCATGGGTCATGGGTAAGATCCCTATGGAGTTTTTTCAACATATTTCAGAAAACCTTATAAATAAGTCTAGAAATCGGGGTATTAAGTGGATGGTAGGCATATCGAAATTCAGTCCAAGTCACGAATCACCGTCCGCATTTCCGAATATCCAAAACCAAAGTAAGTTGACAGCGCACCTTGAATAGACGATGTTAACTGAAGTATCTCACCTTAGGTACACCAAGAGAACCCCATGCTTGTCTGTCCACCTCTATCATAAAACATAATAATAAATCAGTCCTCCCTCGGTCACGTTTAGCGTATTTACTTTCAAACCCTTATGACCACCCCTGACGCACGTTTAAACGATCATGTGTTAACTCTTTAATTCCTACCAACTACCCTCACTTCGAAATAACCTGGGTGTAATTCCATTAGAATAACAGCCTAGTGCATCAGCACTACATCAAGGAGCGTGGCATCTTGAGAGCGGACATCGATTATCTCCAATTAGGTGGAGCCTGAGGTCGTCCGGAATCCCATTAACTGTGGCGAGTGAGTGGAGGACGTCAATTGACTCGACCTGAACGGCACCGATTATCCAAACGAACCGAGAGGTCACGCGGGACTGTGACCGTTACCGCTCGTTCGCAATGCCACTATTCTCGAATGGTATTGCAGTTTTACCGAAGCGAGTCTCTTGAAGATTCTGTCTTGTACTATTTTTGTCATAACATAATTTAACTCTGGAGGAAGAGTTTCTATTTTGTATTTACCCCATCTCATATTAATGAGGGGAAAGTCTTATATACTGTGTGTGTTATGTGTCTATTTTATAAGACACGCTTTCTCAGTGTCATAAATAAACTGAAAAGGCGATTCTTTGTCTAAAAAACGCCTAATTAGTTCAGCCAAATGTTGCGAGATATTTCTTTAGTACGCGAAAGATATTTTTACGGAGCAGAGAAAGAATTCGTTCATAATATATACATGCGTTCAATAAGGACAATCATAAGAGAAAAATTCGATTTAGCGCTCGCCGTGTTTATGGCTAAAGTAAGGGTGGGAGCTTGAGGAGCAGGAACTGGTAGCAGTAACGCAAGTTGGTCATCTTGTATAGTAAACCGTTTCGTAGGATTTTGAACACATTTTCACTTACTACATATATTAAGAGTGCATTTGTGTTATATCTAAACACCATACAATTCTGCCAATATCAAGTAAGACTCACCTTATAAAGCGAATCGTCCGGTCTAGCCTGATGGCTGGCGTGTATTGCGGCTGGGCTTAGCACGCGGCGTTTCTTGGCTGGCTGGGCCGGCGACAGAGCCGGCTTGATGTCTTGCTGCGTGCTTGTGCGCTGACTGTTGCAATACTGAGACTGCTCCGGGTACATGACATGCATTCCCTGTACAGATAAACAACGTTATTCGTATTTACGAGAAGAATCTATGAAAAACTAGCAAGTGATGGACTGTTATGCTCGATAAAAAGGTAATATAATAATTACGATAACATGAAAATAATCTGATTTGGCTTGGCGGTCACTAGCTAACTGCCTAAATAATCAAGATACAAAGTAAATTCAATAATACTATACAAAGTCGAAGATTAAACTTGTTTTTATAACTTATTAAAGTCCTTATAGCCTTAGTTTAGAACACAATGTAGAACGTAGATAACAGCGCTACGGGACGTTACTGAAATCTTTGATAAATTAGTGCTCTACTTTAGCAAACTACGTTATGGAAAATTTACGTGTTAGGCTTTTTATACACGTCGTTATAGTACATACAACAATTATTTCCCTTACAAAAGGTTAAAGCGCTTAGAACAAGAATAGCCGTGGTTAGGGATGATCAGAATGTTAAAAGTAGTTTCTTTACTCCCGTAAAAATAATACTCAAGATAGAATAAAATATAAGATATTTTGATTTGATTTTATAATTCAGTTTTGTGTTTCAAAGTACCCTTTACGCCCCTATGTTAAAATAAATGTAAAATGTAACTCCTTAAAATTTTAAACGAGTGCTTGTGAGTGTACTCATACACCGATATTTACATAAAACGATTTAAATAAAACACTTTAACTATTTAAAACGCAATATATATTAGTTGAACTTATTTAAAAATTCTTTTAACAACGGCCTGACGTTTCGGGTGCTTTGCAGCAGCCGTGGTCACGGGGTTTTATACCGTTAAAGCGTTTTAGATAAACGTGTACTACTCGCGTAAACTACAGACAGTATTTTACATGAAAATATTTTTAATTCTTAATTATTTATCATGTCATATCTTAACACAGTTCTGATGTATTCGTCGGTTCGCATAATTCGAACGTCACTACGAAATTACCCCAAGAACCGTGCCCCGAATTAACGACACGCAATAAGAAGTCGCGTCGGCCAATTTGAATATTCGCGAGGCTTCTTCGATCCACGTAATTTCGTAGAAAGCATCATAAAAATGGCGCTTTCATGCGCTCACAGAAGCTATTTGTGTTAGGCATGTCTCCTTTTTAAATAATTTTGTTTTCCCCATCGGCTATCCCATTTTAATAAGGCATAGATGGAAGCAATAGCGCTATAAGTTTAAATTATTTGAACTATACGTAGATTTATGTACTCAAAGATACATTTACACATATTTACATTTATACGTAACATCTCTCTCACAATTCTCGGTACACTTTTAGTATAGATAAATATTATCTTACAAATAATAAATATTTCGAACCGTATTTATTTAATAACAGGCCATTGAGAGTAACATCTATTAAGTTAAAAAAATACTTATACCCTGCAATACATAATAATTTTACAGTCGTGTACTAAGTCTACGTCGTGTACTGTGAATGTTTCAGAAACTTCAGTGTTATAACGAGGCGTCTAAAAATAGAAAACATTCCACCGCGTAAGGTTTCCGCATCTGATTAGAAATAATATAATGTACGACATACACCGTTCTGTATGTCTTTAAAAATAGCTGGGGCAGGCAAAGAGACCGTGTCCCTTTTTGATATAAAAGTTACATTTTAATCTGCATACATCTTAAACTTATAGGTAACAAAATTGAAGATAAAGATGTAGGATTCTATTATGTGTTGTTTCAGCTAACTCTATAAATAGAGGCTCGGTCGTGGTAATACCATTATGGTGGTTTAATTCCGTGTCCACGTTGTAATGAAAAACAAATTCGATTCGTACAAACAGATTCGTATATATTGACGTTGTACAGCGTATAACTATTTTCCTTTCGTTTTCCACGAAAACCTAACATCCCAAGCCAGGTATAACCATTATACAAATGCGGGTTTATCAATTTCACTATTAACAGTACCTAGTGTAATACATTCAAGGCTATAAAAAGTGGATTCTAAGAACGTTATGTTTCCACAAACGCCCCTAGTGACGCACGCAAATAAACGAGATTGTTACGTGGCTTGCAAGCCATATGTTTGTAGACATACGCTTTGCTTGTCTGCCAAGAGGAGGCGAGTGAATCATTCGGGGTTCAATTAAGTAATTGCAGTGATTTATTTTGTTATTGAAAACCGTTAGTATCATACAAGTAACCTACATCTTAAAGAAATTACTTCTCAGTAGTAAAACACGTTTGCACACTTTTATCTAACGTAAATAAAAAAAACATTTCGTGCAAAACGGAGCAGAAATATAACTATGTCCGCTCACTAATCGGTTTAATTGATAGCCAGCGGGCAGGTTGCCTCTTTTGTTTCCCGAGCGAAGCAATATTTTTTATGTTTCCCGGAGATGCGAACTGAGGTGCTTCACCGACCGAGGGCTGGAGCGAGAATTTCCACGATAAATTAAAAACATATACAAATCAGCTCTTTACACTCTCATGTCCACTAGGTAGTTCACGGCTAAACACAAACGGTCATCGGTCTGAACTCTGAAGAAGCACTACTTGGGGGCTTATAGAAATCCTATTTTCTTTAAGCATGTGAGTATAACACTTTAAAATAACGAAAAAATTGATATACATAGTTAGATATGCTATCAATAATGATAAAATTCCGGATTACGTACAGTAGAAAACAGCGTCAAAGGCACTGAAATAGGATCGATTTTGCTCTAATAAAATGTACTTGTTCAAAAGTTCAGCACGTCGTGGGTTCAGGGACGAAGGCCTAACATTATGATGGCGGCTATCGACTTTCTAAACGAAACTGCGTGGGTGTCACGAGCGGGCAAATGCGCAGGTTAGATCGAGATACCTTATCTATGCTACACTGGTCAATTAACATCACGACCAGAGCGGAGAAAGTTTAGCCTAACGCCTAATGTTCACTTCATGACCGCCTCCGCTACTCAGTTGTACTCATTGCCTAGCATTAAATTTATCCACAAGTGCTGGGTCCGAATTTTGAGTCAATGGATTGCTAGCATCATTGTCAAGTCAAAAAATAAGGGAGTTTAAGGGAACTGCAAAATAATTTATCGAAAACACAACACGACGGCTTATTAACCACTAATCACATATTTATTTAGTTGAATCACAAAAGCTAAAATGTGAAGATATAGGCATTGTGTTAAAGTAAAACTCTATTCCGTTGACAGAACAGGAGCATGCTACTGTAAATAACAGATCAACAGTCCTGGAAAAATATGATCAGGCTAAGTACAGAAATAGAGTACTTGCAAGTTTGATGTACTTGTAATTGCTTACTTTAGTTGCTGTCGTTTGGCATTATATTGTTAAGATCTGAATTAGATACAGAAGATGAACTATGAAGTGAATGTTGTGTATATTTGTATTTTCAATTAATGTAAAATTTGTTTCAAATTATCTCATATTACTAAGATATGTCTGCCTCTGTAGCTAAATGTGTTGCCTAGCATTGCGTTGTAGCGCGAGGGGCCCTGGGTTCGAATCCCGGGGAAACAGTAAACTGTTTCAGCCAAGCAGGGCACAGAAGTCTCATCAACTACTTGCTTGTAAATAAAAAGCATCAGTGAAACGGACACAGACATGTGTTCGCTCTGTGCCCCACCAGGGGAAACAATATAACAGTTTTTTCACTAAGATATGTATTGGGACAATGCCAAAAGACTTGTTGTGAACTGAGCATGTTAATTAACGATGAAGAATATTGATGGTAAATTAAAATTTCTTGCAGTTAGTAAGAGAGGATAAATACGCTACAATTTATTGCCATTTATTATTATAACAATTGTAGCAAGCATAGTTCAATGTAACGGTTTTAACTTTTCAATGCCTCTTGTTTCTAGAATCTATAATGAACAAAAGAAGAAGAATAAATGAAAGGAGTATAGAGCAGTACCCAAGCAAGGACAAGCTAAGAAGATCTCAATTCAGGCATGAGATCAGAGTGGAGTGTTGAGGTCGTGCCAAGTCGAAGCGCTCGTGAAATGTCGCGGGCACCGTTAGTCGAAACGCATAACGGCTTGGCATTGTATCTGCGCGCACGCACGATGTTGCAACTATATTGTATTTAGTTCATCGGTTCTCAGGAAATCGATTATCCTTTGAACGAACTATTGACCGGGCTATGTCTCAGATTACTCAATCATAATAGGTATATCAACACAATGAAAATACTATTTGAGAAGAAAACTTCATAGAATAGCTACAAAATGAAAAAATACTCTTGTAAAAACTCACCAAAAGTAATTTATGTACATATGTAATTAGTATAACCCTTTTAAATTGTTTGCCAGAATAAATGTTTTCTAAAGAAATATGATATATATATCAATTATGTACTGTAAATAACAACATACATTCAAACAATGTCCTCTGGCCAGAATGAGGTAAAGGAAATGTAAATAAATGTAATCTAGGTTTTATTAAATTCATTACGATTCAGGTATAATTAGAAAATGTAAATATTTTCTAATCAAACCTCAAGACTTCTATATGGAAGGATATTTATGGTCTTATAAATCTTTGTATTGTTGCCATAGTAAAATGGTTTTATTAATTTTAAAACTTAATATAATTATCATAGGGTTATTTAGATCATGAAATGCTTAGATACTTAAGTACATTGAAATTAAAGTTCTTATTAGTTAAAATGTTTGCAAAAACTAAATTACAATAAGAATGTTTTTTTTTACTGGGTATATTAAATGTGCAGTAAATTCAAAAACCAAAAATTTTACAAAAGTATACCTACCACCTGAAAACTTTAATAACTAAACATATTTTAAAGGATTTTGTTGGGAAAAATATAAATAATTTATTATTTCCATCTATAGCTATAATAATTGCAATTGTTATTTAAACTTGAGTAAGACTGTAGATAAAAATGTTATTAAGGTTATCCTCATTTACCAAGTCCATAAACGAAATAAGATAAATTTACCGTTTAAACAAACAGTGCCTGAGTTTTTAATTTTGTGATAAAGTATGAAATAAATTGCCCTATCTTCAAAATAGTCATAAATTAAATGTTAAATTGAGCCATATTAATACATGAAAAGCAAAAGTTGATATTCCAATTAGAACGAAAAGGTTATGATTATTTATTTACATAAATCATAGACAACAAAGTTAAACATATGATTTTGGCCTAGCATGTGATGGAATGATTCTATTGCAACAAGCAACTGCTATGGCTCTGTTTGTAATTTAAATGTTTCATTTAAATTACAAAAATTGAGTAAAATGCTTTTAGAAACTCACACGTAGCCAGTGAGCGGTTAATATTGCTCAGTAGAAAGCAATATGTGACGCCGAGATTCCGTGAGAACCAGTAATCTTCCACTCAATTTTCACACTTTAAATTGCAGTCAGATAATTTCCTCACCTTGCAAAGATATATCTCTGTCTGTACGATTCCAATATCATGCTGGATAAGCACACGAAAGCAAACAAAGGGTCCTTCAAAACACAGCCATTTTGAAACAGTTCATACGAAATGTTACGTGTACCGCGAATGTACAAAGTTTTTGGTCGAAAGATGCAAAAAAAGATTATCCGTTCGCACTCATTTTGAATTTAAAGCACAGAAAGAACTAGCACTAAACATTTCACACACTTTTTGTACGATTTCACTTCATACTTTCGCACACACCCGAACACGTCGCGCGAAGCCCGTCGAACGGAAACGACGAACTCTTACGAATGACGAATGGCGCTGCAATCCCAGAATTTCAAATGGCGGCCGAAGTAACGGAGTTGCCATTTAATATTAAAACTTCACCTAGCTTTTAGCATAAAGTTGACGTAAGCAAATAATACGAAATTTAAAAATAAAAACAATTATATAACGTCCGTGCTGTGTGTTGTTCATTTAACAAAAAGCTACATTAGTCAATAAATATTATAAACACATTCAACTGTATGCATTATATTAAAAAAATATATTTTTATTGTATTGTATATTATCTTCATATTAAATTAAGTGTTTTGAATAAAACAATCAATGCATTGTTTAATACTTTAATAGATTAATAAACATTGTCCAAGCTTTTAGTATTATGATATAGTCGGTCTTATTACATTCATAATTTGATCAGGCGTTTTAGCTGTGGCAATTGTAGAGTTTACAAGCTATGCCTTAAAGACTGCGTTGTCTTGACAGCCAGTTTGACAATGTAACTCTGCATTCTGTTGACGTTTACCTTGCGCGCGTTATTCAAAATTGTTGCCTAGCAACACAAACAATTCAAATTCAAAAGACGAACACAATACGGACGTTTCTACAGTAATGCAGTGAATTAATAGAATACCTGTAAAATAGTTAAATAAACGCTCTGTTTTAGGCACGTAAAATCTTATCAATGTAGTTTTCAACATGAATTTGATTAATTAGAAGTGAACGATTTGCTCCGAGTAGCGATATGAATTTATATTATTCTTTTTTTATTACAATACTTTACATTTTTGTTACCCCACTGTCTACTACAAGTTACGATAATGATAACCACGGTAAGTATATTTAAGATATTACTAATAATTTATTATTTATATTTATTTTTCGGTATGTTGTTGTTGAATTTAGTACCTACTCATTAGGGATATCATGATTTTTTCTCCAAATAAGAATATAAATTTAATTTCTGAATTTGATAGCCTTGATACTTCTTTGTTCAGTTCATTTAATTAACTAATTAATTTTAACAAGAGTCACTTTGGTTAGTACTTAATCCAGGTCCTATTGGAAGAATCAAACGACAAATTTAATTGAAAATTAGGCAAGAATCCATTAATCCTATGCCACTAACTACGGTTGGATGCGCAAGCGACGGTGCGTTTGTCGTCCTTCCGTTTACAACAAAAGAGCCAGTGGTCAAATTGTAGTATTTATATGGATATTTACCATTATTGTGAGAAACACGGTTATGGGCAGAATGTAATGCAATACAATACGTAAATCAATGTATTTTAACATCGCTGCTGTCTATTAATGTGTTTAATTTTAAATTTGTCAGAGGGTGTAAACTTTTCTTTAAGTATTTTTTATTTAGAAACCAAAATATCGAACAGGGTACAAAAAAAAGATATAATTTATTTATTTTTAATTTCGATGTCTTTATTCTAGTCTACTACAAAATTAAATAAATACTAGAACTTATGTGTAACGTATATATCTAATTGAAATCCTATTACAACTATACGTCGTTTCTATAGCAGGTTGAATAAGTCTATAGTGCAATTTATAGATTAAAGGAAAACGATAATTTTCCAACAAAGCTTAAAGGATGGTACGGAGTGACTCCACTGTACTTGGTCGTAATTGATGAGCGAATAGCGGTTTACGTAAATCTAAACTTGTTAAAGCCCGCCATTTCTTTTTCTTATTGGCAATGGCAGGCATCGCATTATTGCAGTCAGCCTATTTTATTATAAGGTATAAACATTATCCAGACAACATCCTACAGATGTTTTATGATCTGATAGAAATACAAAAAAGTGCAAAGGTTTAAGACATTTTTCTTCTAGATATATATAGTTAAAAAAGTTTGATGAATGAAATAAAAGAATACCTAGGCAGTATAAGGGTGTTACGCTCAATTTTTGTTGCCAACGTCGGATACCTTTATATCATGCATAATAAAAATAAATTCTCTAGCTATACAAACGTCTGCTTGTCCCTCACGCAATTTCAGGAATATAAGGGAAGACAGTAAACTGTAAGTGCCGTTATTTGGGAAGTCACGCGATGTATTCCGATGTTTGTTCAGATGTCGTTAAAATTGTTAAAATGCTATAACAGTAGCATCCACTGAAAATCAATGACGTTAACGACCTTCAAATGCAGTATCTGCATTGTAAGAATATACATGCAATTCCTTGTTAGTGATACCTACAGAGTTATTAGTATAATAATGGCAACAGTGTAGGCGCTACACAAATAATGACATATTTGTCAAACCATACATGTGGCTATCCTATCCTCGTTCAAGATCTTTTCTTATATAAAAAACATACATTTTATTTTTCCAGTCTATATGCTACTATCATCCGACCAGCATGCACACACACCGCGACTGGAAGACTTCTTCTGGACCGGTTCAGGCGATGGTCCACCGCCGCCAGATCTATCTGCGCCTGCGCCAGTACCCAGTACTCCTGTTGTACGGACGACAACCGTTCTCGCAACTGTTTATCTGGACTCGTACCCACCGCAGGTCTTTTATCATAATATCATAGGATTAAAACGGTTCATTTTTAATCGGACAGTTGTAGGTGAGAAATAGCCGAAATGATTTGTCGCTTTCATTAAATTGCCTTGCAATTTCAGTTGTCGAAAGTTATTCCGATACTTCAATATTTTCAAGCCTTGTTGTTTCTTCAATAAAGATTTTAACACTGCTCTTTAGCATAGGCTAGATTCAAAACCAAAATCAATGAAATATTATGTCAACAATGATCAATAATTTAAAAGTAACAAAAGCGATGACTCCGATAAAATCAATTTTAGTGTCTAAGGATAAAATTAATCGTACTTTATTTACGCTAAACTTATGGAAGAACCTGCTAAGTGTAATCTTACAATACGAATTTATAGTATCTTAATATCATCTTATAATATAGCACCAAATACTTTTAACAAACCACATTATCAAGTTGTTAATAAATAAAAGTCGATAAGGTAAGCATCCGTTAATAACAGAGTATCGGTTCAGGCGGTGACGGACAAGAACACAGGTGAATGTGTTCTCAATTGTGGCGTGACACCAGAAGGTTTGGAGCCCGACATCCCTGAAGATCGAAGGTACTGGCTCCTCACCGTCATTCAGGGAGCTACGCCAGATAGCCTGCAGTTGCGCTTGGCCAGGTTATATCAAAAGGCGTTCTTAAGGTAAGTGACATAAAGTAAAACCAGTTTTATTTTACCTAGTGATCTTAAGCTTAAACGTTCTGGGTATAATTATTCTGATTATGATTAGTGAATGGTGAATATAATCAAGAGACAATTTATTTTTAGGCAACAGGAACGCCATCTCGGTATTATAAAGTCTCTAGATGCCACAACATCTAGAAAGAAACACGACGTACATTCATTTATAGTCAACAAAGATAATGAAATTAGTCCAATTAACACCGATGATACAGAAATACAGAGCTCCATGGTAAACATTGAAGAAGTACACACCACAGTACAAAGTTTATCTACAGTAGTTCATCATAACGAGAAAGAAATGTTCTTAGTCAATAGTATGGAATCTTTAAGATTAGAAATGGAACCAACTAAATCAGATGGCATAGGATGGATTTTGGCCACGCCAGTGGTTATAAGAAAAAGAGATACCAATGAAGCCGAAGACATGGATATAAATAGAGAGGAGATTGAACCGCTGGATGATAAAAGCAATGAAACAATATTATTTAAGCGAGAAATTATAAAGCCCGAACAACAACCGCCTGTACACGTACATATACAGAATATTACTGAGGTAAGTTAATGGATTAACGAAAGCTAACTTAACGAAATAGTATTTTAAAGTAGATCCTAAATTATCAAAGGTATTTCTAAAACTTTACCACTAATTTAAGTTTTAATACCTTTCATATAATTTTGAAAATTACTCACGTTACTTGTGATCACTAGAAACAGAGTTTAATTTCAGTCAGCTGAAACAGGTACTGTGCAAATAGTCTACGTGGTGTTAGTTGGTGGGAGGGCCGTTCCCGCTGCTGTAGCAGCGAAAGACATGCGTCTAGTGAGAGACGCTGAGGTTGCGAAGGAATTAGGAGCTGTTGTAACGACTAAGGCTGAACGTAAGTTTGTATATAATAATTTAATATAGTAGAAACTCAACAAATGGGGTAGGCTAACTTTTGAAAAATGTTTATTTGGCTTAAAATATTCAAAATTAGCAGCGTATCTCCGAGCGGCCGAAGGACTGGAGGGCGAAGCACCAAGCACTTCCATTCATGGTACTGAACTGTGGGCTCTCGCTGTTGGTTCTACTATCGCTGTGCTTCTTCTAATCATTATATTTGTCTTGCTGTGTTTTGCACATCGGTGAGCATTTAGTCATAATAATGCCTAATTATATTACCTATATTTGAATTAAATTTACCTTAGAACTTGACTTATTATATGAAACTTGAACTATTGCTAAATAAGAAATAGCTTAAGATATGTTTTATTTACAAATCTTTAATAGTAATTTGAAAGTAAATTTCACAAAAAGTGTTTGAGTACATGTCAAAAATAGTTTTCAATCGTTCCCGTTGCATTTAAGTTTGGCAATACCTTTTTTTCAGGAAAAAGTCAATCAAGTCAGCAGCGTCACTACGAGCTTATAGAAACGAGATGATGCGAGAGTTAGAACGCAGTCATACAAGGGAAAAAGATGAAAATAACGGGAAGGTACCAAACATTTATAATTGATGACGACATAAATATGGTAATTAATAACTTCTATTAGCTAGTGAGCTATGCGATACTTTTTATCTTTAACGGGACGAACTAGAACTAGAAAGTGCGATAAAACCTTAACTAACATCGTACTTCACTTTCTTTCCAGCTTATTAGTGTAGTATCTCCAAGTCGTACAAGACCCAGTAGCGCGCTTCTACCGATCTATAGAAAAAATAGTGCTTCAAGGTAAGATTACTTTGCATTAAAAATAGTATAGCAGTGTCTTTCAAAACAATGTTTACGTGTTTTAGCACATCGACTTCGTCATCTAGTGTATCAGACGTGGTGGCAATTAGGAGACGACAGAAGAAACCACATGCCCTCAAAATGCCGCAGAAGAGACGAGGTTTGTCAAACATTTATATTTTTTTTACCCGATACTGTTATAACTATAAATGTTAGATACATTGAAGTTAGGTAAATCGCGCACAATCGAAGTATTATTGAGTTTAAAAACCTTACCTTCTTTTAATATTCTTATATATTGCAAGAGTCTTCCAGTAGGAACAACTGACAGTCTGCTAGAAGCAGCTGGTGTAGAAAGCTCGGATAGCGGTCAGCCATCTGCGCCGCAAACTCCGACTTCGTATCTCTCTATGCCATCCGTTACAACGTTTCCCAGGTCAGTAGGAGTCATCAGTTACTATGTTCTTACTATAAACAATATTATTGTTTTGTTTTGTTTCAATAACAGAGGAAACATCGTAGAGCCGCTATCACGAATACTCGAACCCGTATCCGTACGCCATTTAGACATAGATACTCCAGTGTCCAGTCCGAAAGAGCAAATCAAGGATACAATTCCTAGAAGACAGATGGCGTCACAGCTGGTCCGTTTGGGCAGTATAGACAAGGATCCAGGAGTGATTGGACCGCTTGTCTGGGATCTTCACTGTCAGAGAATTAAGGATGGTATGAATATTGTTAATAACTTTCTGCAATAGCACCCTTTTATTCAAATCTTTGAAGCTCAGAGTTACATTTTAATAAAAAGTTTTAAGATTAAAGGTGTAGCTGTCGACTTAACTTGATTTTCCAGCATCAAAACCACCAAGCCCCATGAAATCATTAAGTTCTCGCAAAGAACCGACGTCATCACGAATGAGGCAACGTTTTAATGAGCTGATGGATGACGCCTTCACACTCTTCGGTAGTGCAGGTTCGAGTCCTTCTAACGACACATTCACCGTTGAGAGAGAAGATAGTAAAGAAAAACAACCAGGTATGAGACGGAAGTCAGTCGTTTTACATTTATTTCGTAATTAAATGTTGTTAATTTTTATTCTGCACTGAAACACTAGTCACAGTCCGCGACCTCATTCACAGGCATTTATTCTACGAACATAATATGTACAGTATACATATGTATAGTGACCTAATAAAAAAAAACACTTTTTTGGCAAATCGTATAAAACTGATGATGGCGTTATTATAGTAATGTCAGTGCATTTATCTAATTTTACAAAAAATTTTGAGTTAGTTCACTCTAATACTAAGCGTGCGATATAATGTTCGAATTGATCAAATAATAATAAAACACAATTTTAAGTTATTGGAATTATTCAATTAAATAAAATTTTATTTTTATCTAAATAATTTCATCCATAAAGATTAATTTAAAATACTTTTCGTAAATTTAGCTAAGTCTCTATCACAGTTTTAGGTATGCTATTGGATAAGTAACGGTAAAAATAAGAATATATTGGAGGATAATTCTTAATTTATAGCCGACGTGCGCGTGAGTGAAGCTCGCAACGACAATGTTCGCCTCCCGGGCTCTCCTTACACGGCACTTGACACCCTACGAGGTCGCTCTGCCGGGGCAGGGTAAGTTTAAAAACCAGGATTAAGTAATGATATGTATCTATATAGAATTACGTTTCCATTCTTTTTTTATTTAAACCGAAAGATACGATAACTTAGATTATATGTATAAGATTTCTTTGAACGGTCTTATATTTTTGTTTTCAGACGTGGACTTACCACAACAGACAGCATGCGCCCGCGCACATCGTTTACCCGTCCAACAGAACGCGCCAGCCGCGTACCCACTTGCGCTTGGGGACCAACAACAACAGCTGTATCTAAATGTTTTTATAACAATAAGTTTAGAAGCAATTTTTATAGAGCAATTAATCATTTATGTACATTTCTCATTTATGTGTGTTCAGATACATCCCAATAGCTAAAACCTGACATCTTGCTATAAATATAAAGTAACTCACTGTGTAGTTAGTGTTACTTGAAAATTAAGTGTATATTTTAATATAGGTCATCCTTTTTTCTAGGTTTTGCCATCTAGATCACCAGCGGCTCCGGTTGTAAACACAGCGCTCATGAGCGCACAAGGCAGGCTGCCAAGTGATGATCCAGCTTTACCTCTCATTTCTGCAATCAAGACCGAGATACAAAGAGTTCGTGAAAATGCGATAAAGCAAACTAATTTCCAAACTGACTAGAAGACGCGGTTAAGTTCATATATGTGGACTTTTAAATACGGTTTTCGTTATATACATAAGTAAGACTTCCAAATAGAACACGGGTAGACATATTTATGTGTCTGTTTGCAGTAAAAGACTTGGCCAGACTTCTGTACCCTACTAGAACTACGCGATCAGTCGAACAAAGAGAGCGTTCATTCTAAGTATACATTAGAATAACTGTTTTGTAATGAAATGTGCAATATAATTACTGATATTGTTAGATATTAATTTACATAAACTAATATATTTAAGCTAAATATACACTGATATCTGTAAATTAATATAAAATGTGCATTCTTTAGATCTTATAAAGGTATCAGTTGTTTATAGGCACAGTTTAAGTTTAGACTTAAGATATACTTAACCTTTTTGCCAAGTTGTCATTAACCTACCTGATATTTTTGGTTGTTCACATTTTGTAGAATTTTTAAATAAATATTTGTCACTTATTATACACTTTTTCAATGAAAACGAATACTAGTACTGTGCAAATAAGTATATTTTGTACTCCCTGATAAAAACACACGTACCATTATTAATATGAAAATATGTACAAACATAATTGTGATAGCCTGATTCTTACAACTAGATAAAAACAATGATTTTTAACATAAACAAACTAATTTGTGTGATTTACCTGTATGTTTGATTCTTTTTATAAAACTAAATATTCAAGATTAAATTTTAAGTCAGGAAAACAAGTGTAGGTAAATCTTTGATAACGATCTAACTTTAGTTAAATATATACACATTTACAATTGTTAATTACAATACCTATAGTATACAGTACAGTATCATTTGATATGAAGGCATGTTTAACTATATTTATTTATAGAGCCTAATTTTATTGTTTTTGGCAGTTTCTCATTTGAATCACAATTTTAAAAGTGCTTCATAGCATACACAACTCGAAAAATTACTTCTAGAAATATCTTGACGTGGTATTTTATAATAAGTATAAATAATGTATGGATTAAAGTTATAAATGCTTGTGATTCACGTCTCTATTTAAAATAATAATTGAGGCGACATCGTTAGCCCGATTTCGTCAACAACAAATCTGGACGTCGCCCTTAGCATGATCTTTATCATATCTAAACGTGGCAAAAGCCAAACAGTAATTGATTTTAAAATGATTCATGATTTTTCTGTTCGAGTAGTCAGTTAAATTAAAAAAAGTCAACGACCCATCAGACGATAAGCTGAGAATTTGTATCTATGACCATCATTATCGAATGACCTTAATATACAACTTATGTCGTTACGTCTCCTTTAGTAACGCTTAACACTGTTATCACAATATAGTTATTTTGTTAGTTAACACTGTTTTGTATTGTCGCTACGCAGACTGCATCGGGTGTGGCGCGAGCCTTCGCCATTGGTTTGTTTGTTCGTCTATTTCTTCGTTCTGAAATTATAATTCTTTGCTAGTAAAAAGTTACCTTGGTATGTACTACGAATATAACAAGTACATAATTTTTAAAGAATAAGTATTTTTAACTCTTTATCCTTTAATGTGTTCTCAAAAATGGAGGCATTTGTTTTAATAATTTAAAAGTTCCTTAGGTATTACTTATTGGGCTAAATATTGTTGTCTTTGAACATATTATTTTTTTTTTTTATTTAAAAGTCTACAAAACTAAGCTTTAATATATAGACATGATATAAATGGCTTTATACAAGTAAAAAATCTTAAAAATTAAGCTTATAAATATTCATGTAACAAGAAACAACAGTCCTTATAAATTAATGTACCTGTATGATAGTGATAGAGACATCTGGCTTCACGTCATCAATGCCGTGCTTTGCCGGGTCTTCCGCTTGCGTCTCCATATTCCTGAAAATTATATCATTTTACATATTACTAAACAAGATCTCTATGAAATTCCGTTCTATTGATAAAAAGTCTCAATAGTGACGTTAAGGAACTTGACGTTTAATTGTGGGATTTTTTAAAAATGGACACAAAAAAACACAACCTAGTTTCTAGATATATAACAAATTCCACCCTCTATCCCGCACTATTATAATTCTTCCTATGCCCTATGCACAGAAGGAATAAGTTCTTTTAACAGGTCAATGTTTATTTAATAGCAGGAAAGGGAGCACTCTTATTAGTGGCAAAAAGTTATCAATTTCCCAGTTTCCAAAAGTTTCCCAGGGTCCGAATTCACGACAAAGCACATTTGACATACTTAAGCTGGTTTAACAAAAATTTAAGAATATAGCAAAATATAAGAACTTTTCAAATTACCTCCTACTGCCAGAGTTAAATCTGCCCCCTTCTCCCCTTATCCTATTCATAGCGTGCCTGTGCCGAGATTCGTGAAGGTATTTCTGTAAATTGAAATATTGATGTTATAGTCTGTAGTTTACGCGAATAGTACACATTCAAGAAAACACTTTATTAATATTAATTAAATTAAATTATCAATAATTGTACATTTTGACACAGAAACAAAATTTTCTCTCGAATTACAAGCAATAAATTCGTCGTGATTTGTATAGACATTCCATCGGTATAATGAGGCTCAAGTGATAACTGTCTGATGTCTCAGTGGTTGTACTGACCGGTCTCTCTTTAGGTATCCGCCCTTGTTCATGTAGTTTCGCCCTCGCCGCTCTACGTTTTAATATCCGCTTGTACTGTCTTGCGTTTACGTACAACAAGGGCTCCTCGTCTGATCCGGCGCAGTTTGTGCTGGCTACTGCTGCACCCTCTGTTGTGGCTGTCGCTCCGCTATTGTTACCATTTACCATCTGTAATGTATACATTTTGTGGTTATATTTATAACTAGCTGTGCCCGCGACCTCGTTGTGGAATAGTGACTTGGGGTATAATTTTCAATTATTTAGGCTGTTTATTAATTTATGTAATTGCGCATTTATCGCAGCCAATCTATGTTGTAAGTGCTACTTTGCCGCAACACTCTCATCTCACATCACTCCTACTTTAACTCCCACCCACTTCCATTCCCCCGTTTTAACCTCCTACAACCTTTTCGCAATAAAAAGTCCCTTCTCAGGGTCTAGGACCACGTGTTCTGATAATCCGTTCAGTAGTTTTGGTGTGAAAGAGTAACAGACAGACAGACAGAGTTACGTTCGTATTTATAATATTAGTAAGGATAATGAAGAAATATTGAAATTCAATATCTTTACATAGTTAGAAGGTAGTCTAAACTTCTGTTTTTCAATGATGTAACAAATATTGTGTGTGTTGAAAACTGTTGTAACTAAGATTCTCTTAAATTATGATTTTTATTTTATTTTCTACTTACCATAACAATGTTGGGTTGATTGACAATCTGTTGCGGTTGAGCTACTTGGACAAGGTTTCCAAAATTTAATACTGAAATTTAAAAAAGTAACCAATGTATAAAGCTGCTTCATTTCTTTCCAACATATTCTCAAGATTACATATTGGTAATAATAATACTTTTCTTATTGGAACTATGCCCAGAGGCTGAATATAATTAAAAACTAAGACTTATGTAAATCAAGCTCTTACCAGCAGGTTGATGAATAACTTGGTGCTGATCTATGGTTTGTGTCGGTTGGTACAGAAATGTCTGTCCATCTGGTGTCTGAACAAGCTGCATTGTTTGTACATTGTTGTTTGCACCTGAAAAGTTTGAGAGGAAAGTGAAATAGTATTATCCTACTAGTAAGATATTTTTAATCTTGTTCACTATGTTTCAAGTGTATTTATTATCATAGGCAGTATAAAGTTTCTTTAAACAAGCGAGCTTACCCTGAATACTTGATAGTGGAACAACTTGCAGGCCTTGAATCTGTTGACCATTTGGTGCAGCAACCTGTTGCAAAAGATTTGTAAGTACTAGTTACTTAGTTATGAATAATTTTAAAAGCGTAAATATTCTTGGCACTTGGTTTACACAGCTCTCCTTCAAGCTGTGCGAATTGCTTGTTAATTAGTTTATAGTATATTTACATGCAACTAATTTACAAGCATATCTATAGAAAACAATAATAATTATGAGATTATTTCACTATTACTGGAGATAATATTCAGAGAATTCAACACTTTTAAATTATTAAAATAATATATATATATATACCATAGCCTGTATTTGCGGAGCTCCAATCTGAATGCGTGCACAAAAAGATACAAAATTTATTTTTTATACTTTAAGACCTTAAAATAAATTAAGTTAAGTGTTTAAAATATAGTGTCTGTAAGTATATTTACTAATGTTTAACTGTTATTATAATCACCAATTATACATATAACTTATTGCTCTCTCTTTTAAATAGTCAAGCCAAGAATAAATCATATCAGGCATTTTGATCAATCATTATATCATCTTGGCACACAATTAGTAGATCACAAAAAGTTTTATAATGTTGTAGGTAAAAATATAAAAGAAAAATTCTGATAAGTTACCGATGAAATAAGATCATCATTGTTTACCTGTATAGCTGGTGCTCCAGAAGGTACAGTGTGGACCATGATCTGCTGTCCATTAGGGCCCTGTACCATATGTGGAGAACTATTCATCTGAAGTACTTGTAGTTGTTGACCGTTCAAAGTAACCACTTGAGTGCCATCAGATGTCTGGATCTGAGCATGCTCCATATTGGTTAGCTGAAATGTTAAATTATTACTTTAAGTTGCTACATGCCAATATTACTGAGGTTTTCCTCTATTTAAGTATAAGGAAAAGAATAAGTAATGCACCCAAGTATATATGTACTTATAAAACTTCAAAAAAATTGTACCAGAATAGTACTTCAACTAAAAACTTTGTAAGTTTACATAAGTCATAAAACAAATTTCCTTCTATATATCTTTACAGTTAATTTCTAGTACATTCTTCCGGTATTAAAATTTAACAAGGAATGATGTCTTAACTAAACTCACTGTCAATTAAAACATAACCTTGATAAAAAGTTTATACAAACTCCACCAAAACCATTATCCGGGTAGGCAAATCTTACCATAGGAAACTATCACTAATTTTTCGGGACGAATTTCGGGATAATCCATAACTTTGTAGGAATTAAGTAAATCATTTGCGACTTAAACAAAATGGCTGCTTAAAAAATATATTTTCGACATCATCATAGTTTGGAAAGTGTAAAAATCAAAGTTTGTCCGAATAATTTCGACTTCTTGTGATCACTTAATAAATTCTACAAATAAAATGTAAACTTACATTGGGTATTCCTCACTGGTTTTTCAATGATTGGTTGACAAAGGATAGACCAATGGATGATGTCAATGATCACACGAACGCAGTAGATTGGTTCGAGACATTACCACTCCCAGAGAAGCGCGGCTATTCTGTTCATTCCGCTATCCAATGCTGATTCTTGTAATTAAAACATCGTCTATGGTTCCGAGGGGGCGGAGAAATTATTCAATATGCGTGTATTAACGAAAATTTAATCTTAATTTCGTTTAAGATACTTTGAATCTCACTGATTGAATTGCATTTTACACATATTTTAACCATTTATTTTTTAATCTATAAGCCATAATTCATATAACAGATTATATAAATAATTATCTAACTCAAATTACACTGACAATTGACTCAGAATTATTGACGGAAAAGAATTGACATTAGTTTCAGTTAGGAGAACATGAACTCGAAGCGAATTATAACCATTAATCACAATATCGGAAATATTAAGTTAAGCAAGAAATATATGCGATTTTTTATAAGCATTGAATTGCTTATGATATAAGCAATAAGTAAAATGAATTCAATAGATGGTGATTGCACTAGGGATTATTTAGCTTCGGAAGCTGCTCGTCAAGTTGGTAAGTAAAACCAGTTTGAAATTGGAAACTTAAGTTCTTTTGTTTTAATACAATGTCAACATTTTAAATATTCCTTTCAGAAAATTTAAATATAACTTTTAAAAACGTTTCGTCACTTCACAAGGAGTTGTTAGAAATAAATATCTCAGTAAAAGCTTACATTGAGGAAAGCAAGAAGAGGCTCTCTCATTTAAGATTACAAGCAGCGAACAACGCGAAAAGTGCACAAGAAGTTGCTGAAGTTTTATCTAAAAATTAAGTAAGAAAAAATGTATATACACATAACTTATACATTATTATAATATGGTATTACATAGTACGTATGTAGTAACACAGAAATGGTCTAAAAATTTGAATTAGAGCTACAAACTATATTTAGAGCAAACTTTGCATTCAAGGGAAAACAATATGCTTAGTTTTAAAAACAATATGTATTGGTTTTTTTTTGTATTGCTTCAATCTTAATCACAGTAGTATAACTGTTGAAATTCTAGACATTTTCTTTATTAACACTTGTGTTGTCTCAAATTTTAGGTAAAGATGTCGATTTCACCTAAAACTCCCAAAAAGAGGACAAGCAAATTCCACATTAAATTGGTGCCATTATTAGGCAAAACCAATTCCACAAATAAACAACAAAATGCTAAAAATTTCATCAATTGGTACAAACAAATAGTTGATAATGATAGACAGAAACTTGGACTTTATCTATCAGATGATGTGACCCTAAAATGGTTTGGTAGAATAATAAGAACAAGGAAAAAAGTCAACAGCTTTTTTCTAAATCATGTGGAATATTCAAAACATAATTTAACATCAGTTGATAGCATATCCAAGATTAGGCAGAACCGGTCTCCAAGGTATGTTAACTATGAAAAGGACCATTTTAAATTAATTAGATATGTACAGTAGTTATTATGTTGAATACTCAGCAACAAAAATCTTATCAAAACAACTATGAATGTTAGTCTTTTAAATTTTGTTAATTAAGTCTAAGAACAAATATTTCTTATCACTAATTAGATAATACATCATATGTACTCTTGCAGAAAAAGTGATTCTTTTGAAAGCACAATATGTTCTGAAGTCCCACAACAGCATTGTAAACGGAGATTAGTGCAATCCCCAAATAAAAGCCCAGATTGGGCTCCAGGTTGTAAACCTGACGACGAGTTCGATGGCACAGATAAGAAAAGGTCCAAGCATGATATAACAGAATACATGGACTTTGAAGATAATACACAACTTAATAGCTCTAGAGAAATAAAACCTCATTTTGAACTTAATAATAAAGGTGATGGGATTAAACACAGAAAGCATGAACCCTTAACTCCAACTAACCTAGAGTGTGGACAAGGAGACTGTTTGCCATCAACAAGCAGTGACTCTGACAAATCTCATGAAATACTTAATGCTCAGTTATCTAAGCTAGCTGTGGAATGCAATGGTTATGTGGAATTTACACGCACGCGAAGTGTATCAGACAGTGTCAAGTGGGAAAGGAAATGTAAGTTGCAGATAAGTTATTCAGAAGACCCACTGAATGTGGGAGAGTTTATTGTGTGGATGATTTGTTATAGCAATAAAAGTAATTGTAGAAGAAATCTCTTGGCTGAATTTAATGAAGTGGGTAAAGAGGAAGCATTCTAATTTACACTGTTTTTTTTTAACATTTGTCCTTGTCACAACAGCAGGAATCTGTACTTTGAAATTAAGGATTGAATTTATATATTTTATGGACTTATATTTTTATGGTTTGAAGATGACTGATTGAAATATTGTAATGGAACAATATATTGTTATTCTATTATCATTCAAGCATTGCTCTTATTCATATTATCTTTGAATTTTTCATTCTATTTTTATTTTGCCAACTTACAACAAACAATGTTGTTATATATCTGATATTCTAGAATAAGAAATTAAATTTAAATACTATAAGTGTTGTTAGATAGGATTACTTTTGAACAAAATGGCTTTATTAAAACAATTACAGTTTTACTCCCAACTCATGACCACCGAAAAAACTGTTTTTTTTGTTACTGTTACAGATTAGTGGATTATGTAAGTTGATTGAAATTTTCAACTTAACTAAATTTACACGCTTTTTACTGTATATGTTACAATGAATATCTTTTAATTTTCTAGTAAGGAGTTTTACTTTTAAGTTATTTGGTAGGGTGCCTACCTCAGTAAATAGGCTTGTAATATTTAAGTTTTTATGTATGAAATAATTATATGAGATATTTTTGTTAAGAATTTCCACGGAATAAATAAGTACACTAAACTTTGTTTTTTTACGGATATTATCTTGATAAGTTTTAGCTTGACATAATACGTATAGGCTGTATGTTAATATGAATAAAATAGGCATGTTTTTTTCAGATCTATATTTCTGGCACCATCATGGCAATATTACAATAATATCAAAAAATAATACTCATACTTTTGAGACACATTACCTAATAAATCTTAACAATAATTAAAATAACTTCTGTAATGCCAAATTTGATATCCTTTTCACCTAGGTTTCATAAAAAAAGCTCTAAAAAGAGAAATTTGACCATAAATCACTTGAAACTAAAACTAGGTCTCACTGGTAATCTTTCTTTCATGAAAACTTTACTGTTTTTGTGATGTTTCAGTGAAAGAGAATTTTAACATCAAATACATGAAATAGATATTTAATGATGAATCTTTGAATAATTTTAATGACAACTGCTTATATCTGTTGTTGACCTTTTCATAAATACATTACTTTTACTAGATAAAGGCAAATTAAAAATACATAGAAATATAACAGCTATATTAAATTGCTTGTAGATAAAGAACTTGTTTGTTGCAATACTATTTTACAGCTTTGAATTTTTAAACAATTATAAATATGTGAATGTTTTGAATTTGTAGTAATTTGACAATAATAAAATGTAAGATGGTGAACTAAAATAAGAAAATCAGAAATAATTTGTCTAAATCTAATACTATGATGTTTAATTAACCTTTATTTAAGAGAATCGGGCTGATTTATGCTGTTGTTATCATGCCGTTTAAAATGGCACTGAATTATAAAATGTCTTAGAACTGGATATTCAGAAGAAGACATGTTTGCTTAAATACAATTATTATAATCTCAGATCAATCTCAAATGTTTTATCAATGTCTCCAATCCTTAAAATATATTTTATCAAGCACCACTTTATCTTGATGGCTGATAACATTTACCTTTGCAACAAGTCTTTCATTATTGCATTCAATTGAATATGATATAATGATTTATATAACTATCATTATATTTGCATTTGAGCAAAAAGTAGTTTCAACATATTTTAACAACTTTTATCTATATGTTTAAAAGTATTACAATGGTTGATCAAAATCATTACCATCAAGTAAGGCATTTGTGTCTTCAATTTCCTCCTTTGCATTATTGTCTTCGAGGACTGGTTCATTGACAGGATGGAGGGCATTAAGAGATGAACTTAACTTAGGTGGCTGTGCAGCTGGGGTCACTTTGGATGGTGCAGGGGGATTTGGAGCACTTTTTGTGGTCAAGGATGACTTAAGCCTTGAAATCTCCTTCTCTAATTCTTCAATCTTTTGTTTACGTTCATCTAACTGACTTGTCAACGTCTCTTTTTCTAGACGCAAAGTTTCTAAAGTTGCGGACTTACTCAGTTGAAGGTTTTGTAATGATTGTAATTCTGTTTTACACAATTCAACATCAACCAAGGTCCGGTTTACTTTATTGTCAGATTTCGACGCTTTCTCCTTGTACTCCGATAAATCATTTGTTAATTGTATTTTTTGATTTTCTAACTCGTTTATTTTCGTGTTGAAACTATCGCGCTGTTGTATATGTCGCAGCGAATCTTCCATGCATGTTGTCTGCTGTTTTGAACATTCTTGCAACTGAATACTTAACTCGGCTAACTTGTTTCGTAATTCGGTCTCCATACTCCAACTATTGAATAGTGAAAGGGTAAGTAAAAAACATACGGCGAATACGATATACATCGGCCAACGACGCATGTTTTCCAAGCCCATATTATCCTGTTCACAATTGAATAATAAAATACTAGACGTGCGGTCTACAGGAATTGCTAACACGTATACCAAACCTTTAATAGTCTATATTTCATTGGAAATAATAAAATTTAAACTACACTTAAATGAGTTTTGACTTTTGACTCTAATACCTACTTCAGTAAATTGAAAAAATAATGATTTATGACAAAAGATAATTGTCAAAATGCCAATGACCCATTCATAGACAAGAACAACTTTGATGTCATTTTTTATAAATTTTATGACTTGGAACCTAGTCTATAAGTGGAAAAATCCTTATGAATCTAAATTTTCATTACATGCATATTTTTCAGTATTTGTGTGACAATTGGTGTTCACGTTAAAATTCCACAATTATAAACATCGAACAAAAAGTTTGATTTTTAAAGAGAAATACTTTTTTTACAAAAGAATACTATATAGTAGGTATCCTTTTGTGGGGCAATGCAGCCGATATTCAAACCATATTTGTTTGTCAGATACGGGCTGTTCGAGCGATTTGGGGTATTTCCCCACGAGAGTCTGTTCGATATAAGTTTAAGGCATTGAATATTCTAACGCTGGCAAGTCAATATATCTATGAAATGTTTTGTATGTGAGGAAAATTGTAGATACTTTCAAAACAAACGGCAGCTTTCATCAGTACAATACACGTACTAAGGACAAAATATGTGTCAACCAAACAAAAGGCTTCATAAAAGTAGTTCTTTTCAAGGTAACTGCATACGATACTTTAACAAAATCCCCAGCGATGTGCAAGCACTCTAAATAAATAAGTTTAAATCGTATGTAAAACAAAAACTTGGAAAGGGTTATGATGACGTTAATCAATATTTAAATGATAAAAATGCTTGGGGTGTGGAGGAACCTGCTCTTACAAGGAAAAGTATGTAGCGCACTAAAAGTATATAAAGAATGTGAAACTTGGCTATAAAAGGAGTGGCGGTGAGTTTTTTGATGAATGAGTAAAAAGGTTTCATATCACCACAATAACGCAGTCACGTTTTATATTGATATTACCTATTCTTTTGTCAATGACCTAGCTTCCCGATCATATAAACAAAAAACTTCCTCTTGCAGTCTATGTACTCAATCTGCGGATCATAGACAACAGCCAGAATCCATCATCGACTTCTTTGGTTTCCACGAGGTTTTTAGTAATATTTCAATTTAATTGTGAATTATTTGAAGGAAACTTCACATATTTACAATATAATGCCACCCAGTAATCCTCTGCCACCTAAAGAAAATGCTTTATTTAAAAGAATTCTCGTAAGTAAACAAATTTTGATTGTATGCTGCTTGTCATTTAGATATTTTCTCTATAAAAAATGGTTAAGAGGCTCTAAATAAATAGTGATACAATGTAAGCCGCTCGAATACTATACCATATTATGGTTTGTAAGTGACCCATTTTATATTTACGTAATTAACGCGACTGTACTTACTACTTTATACACCAATATACTACAATTCTATAGACCTACGCCTAAATATAGGTTAAAATATTGTTGAATATTTTTTTTCAGCGTTGCTACGAGCATAAACAATATAAAAATGGCCTGAAGTTTGCTAAACAGATATTATCTAATCCAAAATTTGCTGAGCATGGAGGTAATTAAAATGACAATACTTTTTATATTTGTTTACCATATTCAAGAGTTCACAAATAATATGAATATATTTCAGAGACATTGGCCATGAAGGGTTTGACATTAAACTGCCTGGGTCGGAAAGAAGAAGCATATGAATATGTGCGGAGAGGTCTTCGTAATGATTTAAAGTCACCTGTCTGTTGGCATGTGTATGGGTTACTTCAGCGTTCTGATAAGAAGTATGATGAGGCAATTAAGTGTTACCGCAATGCTCTTAAATGGGAGAAGGAAAATATTCAGATACTCCGTGATCTCTCTCTGTTACAAATACAAATGAGAGATTTAGAGGGGTACAAAGTAAGTTCTTCATTTTAATAAATTTAAATTAAACCTATTCAATTATGCTATAAGGTAAGCTTTAAAAATAAAAAGCTTCAAATATCCTTTATTTCTTGAAAATTAAATTTATAGGATAGCAAGCTTGAAACTATTCAAAAACTAGCTACACAAAACTGTAAAGTGTAAACAGTTTTTTCTTTGCTTAAATGCCTCGTTTTAGTATTGCATTTAAATCCTGGGTAGTCATTTTATTTTCTTAATTAGATAGGAACTGATTGAAGATTGCTGGTTAAAAAAAAATCATAGTAAAACAGACTAAGCGACTTGTTGTCCACATGCGTTATATACGGGACTTCATTCTTCTGGCTATTCTTTCTTACAATATTAAGAGTCAATCAATATTAATAGTTTTTGTAATCAGTAGGGCAACTGTAAAATACTTTGTCTCTTTTGTTGTATGTTAAATTTTTTTTTCTTTCTTATCAATGAAAAGTGTTAATATACAATTTGTTTCATGCTTTCAGGATACTCGCTACCAATTGTTTATGCTAAGACCGACTCAACGAGCTTCTTGGATAGGTTTTGCTATGAGCTATCATTTACTGGGTGACTATGAAATGGCAAATAGCATACTCGATGCATTTAGAACCAACCAAATGAAGGGTCCGTATGATTATGAGCATTCAGAGCTTTTGCTCTATCAGAATATGGTGTTGGCAGAGTCTGGGCAGTATGATAGGGCTCTCGCTCATTTATTGAAGTTCCAAACACAAATATTGGATAAATTGTCAGTGAAGGAGACATGTGGTGAATATTACTTGAAATTGGAGAGGTGTGTATTTTTTGTTTAGTTATTATTTTTAACAACCGGTAATTTTAAGTTATCCTAATCAATTCAATAGTTAAGTTTAAAACTTTGGAATATAGTATTATTAAGTAGATTATAGCATTATGTACCCTTTTGATGTTCTGGGATCAAAATGATTCTTACATACTATCATTAAGGTGGTACTTAACATAGGGTATAGGAAATGGGAAGTATTTCCTGTTCTAATATACTCTGGTACAAATATTACATAAATATTCTGTTATCAAAATGATTATGTAAATTGCTGAAATATATATTTATCCTGACCATAGTTCAAAAGGGCCTTACTGATAGTTTTATCTACTAGAATAACATTCTGTGTAATTTCTCACATTATATAAAAATATTTTCAGGTTTAAAGATGCAGAGTCTGTTTATGAAGGGTTATTAAAGAGAAATCCAGAGAATGTGATGTACTACCAGAAGCTAATAGAAGCTAGAAGACTGAATACTCCCGATCAGAAAGTAGACTTCTATAATTTATATAAGTAAGTTAAAAAACTATTAAGATCTATTTTTAATAGAATGTTATAGTGCTAAGATATTAATTTCTGAAGTGAACCTAAAGCTTGTCTCTCCTCATCTTTTTATTTCATTTTTTTAATAATTAATAAAAATTATATGTAATTTCTAGAGAGAAGTGTCCGTTTAATTTAATTGTGAGATATGAATTACAAAATTCCATTTTTAGGAAGGGTTATGATTGCTACAAACTCACTATGATTTATATGGTAATACAGATTTTTTTTATATGTATGTCTAGTATTTATCACAATAGTGATCAGGCAATAGTTTAGTTTCCCTTTTTTATGCGCCACTGTCTGTCAGGTCCTTCTCCTAAAATGTGTTCATGAATTTCCAGGGCAGAGTTTCCAAAGTCGATTGCACCAAGGCGCTTACAATTGACTGAAGCTGAGTGTCCTGGTGTGTTTACAACATTGGTGGATGAATATTTACGTCATGGCTTGCACAAGGGTATCCCACCACTGCATGTTGACTTGAGGTCAGAAAATTGTATATGTACATACATGTGTCAAAAACTAGTTTAGTATTTTGGACTCAAACCCAGCATGGGTTTGACAGACTCGTTGGTCTCATGGTAGCAATTTATGCTAATAATCAATGGGGTGGGTTCGATCCCCAGCAGATCTAACAGTTTGTTGTTTGGAAATCTCGTTATTGAAAGGGTGGTAGGAATGTCGAAATTACGTCTGGGTTTCGAACCTCCGCTACGGATAAAAAAGCAGTGAAGTTAAATTACGTTTCGCTTTCATTCTGTGTATTTCCGAATATCAAAAGCCAAAATAGGTCGACAGCGGATTTTGCCGATATGCTATATGTCTGGGGTAAACACCATTCAGCAAGTCAACCCTTTCTCGTCCTGAGACACGAAGGTCTCTAGGACGGAACTGAGTTACAGACTTCGTCAATTGTTAATCTTATTAAGCATTTTATAACTAATTTTTATTATTAATATTTCAGATCGTTATACGCGGACCAAAATAAAGCAGACACAATAGAGAAATTAATATTACAATATATAGACAACCTATCTAAGCTTGGCACATTTAGTAATGACCCAGATGAGGTGAAGCAGCCAGCGAGTGCATTGCTATGGGCCTACTATTTTGCAGCTCAGCACTTTGACTTCAAAAAGGACACGCAAAAGGCCTTACATTACATTGATGCTGCGATAGAACACACGCCTACACTAATAGAACTGTTTATTGTTAAGGGAAGGATATATAAGGTTTGTTTTACATAATTCTTAATAACCCATAGTAATATTATTTACTTCAAAGCAGTTGAACATTTTCTACTATATAAGGTTTAATTGAGATACAATCAACTTCTGTTTTGGACATTTGGTAATTTTTTTTCTTGCAATATATTATGATAACGTGACTGTTACTTTCTCTGTTCCACCAGTATGGCTTATATACTATTTAATTAATTTTTCGAACGATCTTACCATGGCTGATGCAAAGCATCATCCGAAACGTTGGGTCGTAGCTGAAATAAATTAAAAATAAGGTACTTATGAACCCATTTTCAAACGCTAAACGTGTTTCTTTTACAAATGTACTACTCGCTTAAACTAAAGACAATACTTACTTGTGAGAAAGTCTGTGTTTGTAACGTAATAAAAATATACATTGTTTTTTGAACAGGACACAAAAGAACATGTCTTGAAGTGAAATGTGTCTGAACAACTAGATATAAAACACACAAGTAGGTGCAGTAAATAGCTTATTTGATTTTCTAATGTTAAACAGCACGCCGGTGACCCGATATCAGCATACCAGTGGCTCGAAGAAGCTCAAGCGATGGACACTGCTGATCGCTACGTGAACAGCAAATGCGCGCGTTACATGCTACGGGCTGGACACGTCAAGCGCGCTGAGGATATGTGCGCTAAGTTCACTAGAGAAGGTAATTTACATCCACTATTTGTTAGTAGTCAAAATACATATATTTAGTATAATTTATTTAGTAAGACTTACATGTATTTAAGCTAATAATAGTAAAAATAATTCTTATGTACCTAACTTATAGGTATACAAAGCGTTGACTTCTTTGTTCATTCTTCATAATAATCTATTAAAAAACCTGTATTATTTAATTTTTCACCAAATTAAATAATTGACGCCACGCGAAACACTATTTCTTTATAGTTTACAATATAATAATTTTTATCTTATTTATTTTAATCTTTATAATAGTTGAATAGACAAATCAAACAATCAAACAACATTTTTTTCCTTAATTTTATTAAAGCACTGGGTTTCATTGAATCTGGTGTCTATCATTCTACCGGGTTGTCTGACATTCTATCGTTGGCTATTTCTTTTATGCTTCATCATACAATGTTAGACTGTATGTACTTCGTAAAGTTAAAGAGTCATTATAATATCTATATTGATATCCATTCCAGGTGTCCCAGCCACAGAGAATCTAAACGAAATGCAATGCATGTGGTTCCAGACGGAAGCAGCGGCTGCATATCAGCGCCTACAGCAATGGGGCGAAGCACTAAAAAAAGCTCACGAAGTAGACAGGGTAAGAAAATGCCTAATGTATAAAAGTATTTTGGCGATTAATTATTTTTTTATATTAATTAATAATCGCAAAATAATTATTTTTGGTTGTGACATAGCATTGAAGACCAATCAGCTTGATGCACTAATTTTAATAAAACCACCAATGAAAAGAACAGAAGAATGTTATACTTAGTGACATTATCTTGTTTGAAACTACAGATCTAAAACCCTGTCATATTGTGTTTTCCAGCATTTCTCAGAGATCATGGAAGACCAATTCGACTTCCACTCATACTGTATGAGAAAGATGACGCTGCGGTCGTACGTCGGGTTGCTCAGATTGGAGGACGTGTTACGAGCGCATCCCTTCTACTTCAGATGCGCACGCGTCGCGATACAGGTCTACCTACGGCTGCATAGTCACCCGCTACAGGACGCACCGCAGACTTCGGAACCCGATACAGGTAAGAATCATTTATTACTATGATAATATAATCCATTCATATTAGCAGTGTTTTTGCAGCGCCGTTGAATATGATATGTCAACAACATTGTAAAATTGTACTATCGGGCGATATTTGTTCTGCTTTAGTACAGCGCCATCTAGTTTTTTAAATAAACACTAAAGTACGATTTGTGGCGTCACTGGTATTGCGTTGAGGCGTACGCCTTTCGAATTTTTGAATCATTTATCCGTGACAGATAATCATTTTATTTTACATTTCATTGAATTTTTTGGTTAATAATTTTTCTTTTTATATTTAAATAATAATTTTAAAGTAATGCAATTGTTGCTTAGTTAATTATGCGCATTTAAATTTTAAATCATACATTATCCCTAATTGCTTGAGTTTCTCTAAAGCAGCATAATCTATTACTTGAAATGCTATAATGAGTCCTATTTTTATTCCGTTTTTGCCAAGCGTTTTAAGCAATTATGACCGGCTGTAATCTTTCGACATAATCAATTAGCTCACGGTCATATTTCACTGAAAGCATTCTATAAGGTTTCTGTAATGCTTGTCCATTTACTTCACTATCTACTGGACTAATCAGTTCTAGAGGATATTAAGAAATAAAAAATCGTCCATGTATTATAATTTTTATTAATTTAATTCGTAGTCTTCAATGTTCACACATTCCACTATATTAAAAATAACAACTTACAATAACAGTCATTCTCGTCGCATTACATTTACAACAATTTGCATCACACGCATTTCACAACACACGAGAGTTTATCGAAAATACTGACAAACAAATAAATTAACTATAGCTACGCTTGCACCGGTCACTTAACAATAATTTAATAAATAGTTTCAATAATACAATGTCCGTTTGGTTCGCTAATGTCCGCGAAACGCATCGTTTAACACATTAATAATATGGCATTGCGGTTGACCGCTAGTCTCTTCAACCTTAAACTACTTAGGACACCTATAAATCACATTTGCGCTTTATTATATATTTACACTGACGTCGACGTCGTTCAGACTAGAGCTTTGGTTTCACCGTCCGTAACCTGGGGACCTGTACCTCTCCCGCGCAGCCTGAGCCGCTTGCGGTGTCAGGAAGTACACGTGGGCCCCTTCCCCGGGGAGTCGATACCTCACCAGAGACCCCGGCTGGCCTTCACCCGCCGAGTTGACCGCCCCTATCCATTCCGCATCAGGATTGATAGGGGGTAACGGCCTCCTGTAGTTGACGTCCGTGTCCCCAACCAACGATGGCCTATTCAGGTCGTACTGTTCACCAGTATACTGAGGCTCTTGCGGTTGTTCTCTGTACTGCTGTGCTCTTCTGTAGTTTGGATTTGGAATGGGGATAAAGTCGCTGTCCGGACTAATCTGTGGTCTAGGATATCTGTCATTGACAATCGTGTCGCTGGCTAAAGATGGAGGATTTTGGGGGTTTTGTGGCTGGACTAGGTCAGCGCTTGCGTGCGATGGGTGTACGGGTTCGCTGTCTGGGTTGATAGGCGGCCGTGGGTGCCTGTGGTTAACGATTGTGTCGCCGTGCAACGATGGCGGATTGGGGCTCTGCGATTCGACGATTTCATACTCGTATTGCAGATTAATATTGTTGTCTATAGGCGTTTTCACCGTTTCAAGTGGAGGCGTTACAGCCAATCCGTTGACGTCTCTATTGCTGTCCTCAAGCTTCTGTCCAAAAATGTCGAAAGTGCTCTTAGTTATGTCATCAATGTATCGTTCGTCATGCTTTGTGTAATACCCACTGCTTATTGGGTTCGCTGTTGTGCTAGGATATCGATTAACTTGGTGAACAGGCTTACCGGTTTGTACGGGAATATGGTTTCTATTGTTTACTGGTAGCGCTTCTTTTACTGCCGCATCTTCATAGTCCTCATCTCTTACCTTTGTTTTTGGATAATATCTAGAAGATGTAGGGCTCTCCGTCGTGACTTGCACGTTTTCAACTAAGTATTGTTGGTAGCCTGGTGACGCGGATGAACTGATTGCATTAAATTCATTATCCACGTTAAACGGCTTACTGTAGCTCACCATTGGACGGAAAGGTTCAGGGTCAAGTTTTGGCGCTCGGAATGTCAATTTTTCCGGCCTCGGTTTCGTTTCGTAACTATACTGATAGACAGGCCGTGACGTAATTGGCTTTTGTTTTGTGGTATGAGGTCGATGCGCGTGCGCTTTAGGCCTCTTTGTTGTGAAGAAGTCTATCGTCTGCTGTATATCAGCGATCTGCTGATAGAACGATTCTGGTCTCGGTTTCGGTTGCGGTACATATGATGGTTGTGGTCGAGGCTTCTGTATACTAAAGTATTCTTGGGTGAGCGTTCTAGGACCTTGCTTCTGTGGGAATAAGAAGAAAGCATCCGCTTGATCGAATGAACCGTAAGCGACGTCGACTCCCGGTTGGTATTGAGTTTGTTGATTAGCGTTTTGCTTTGGCACATATGAGGCTTGACTCGGTACCGTCTGGTAATAATATCTTCCATCGACATTACTTTCGGGTGCTTTGGCCTTCGGTTGTTCATCGAAAAAGTAAAACGATGCCACGGCATTTTCATTCGGTTTTCTGCTATAAACAGGCTGTAACTTAGTTGTAGGGATATCATCGTTATGCACGTTGGTGTAATATGCTCTCAGCGGTACTGCAGTAGATGATATGTCATTTACATGGTCGTCTATCGCCTTTTCTGGTACATTATAAGCGCTATATGGTTTCTGTGTTGTTGCTGGTTTGTTTTCATAAATGTCGGGATAGTCATATAGAACGGACACAGAGAGCGGTTTTGAAGTGAGTTTTGTCCGCGTCTTGTATACAGGCTTTTCAGTATTTGGTCTCGTAATAATTTCCACTTCGGGGTGATACACTTTGACTGGGTGGCGATTTGGTATAACGCGTTGTGTCTTTCTATACTTAGTTGTTGTTGGAACTTCTGTGTTAGACTGTGTTGTTAAAGTCGTCGGCACCTCTGTTGTTTTTGGGAGTTCCGTGGTTGTTAGTCTCGTCTTATACTTTCCTCTGTACGTTACAGGCGTCGGCGATGGACGCTTTGAACTACTCTTAGTCCTTGTGTAAGTCGAAGTTGGTGGGTTTGGTGTAGTTTTGATTTCTTCCGTCGTCGCTTCTTCGAGCGGAGCGAAGAAGTCTGGAGGCGGTGGAAGTATGATTCCTGGTACTAGAGGTCCCGCTGGTACGTTACCCTTATAGTCATTGCGATAAGAAAAATTGTATGGCGGCGGATAATATATCGAAGGGTCGTCTTCGTCGTACAGGTCGGACTGGTTGCTCGGTGGTGGTAGAAAGGCGGCGCCCGGAGGAAAACCTTCTGGAAAAGAGCCGTTCATGGATGCGGGAAATGGGAATGCACCTTCGCTCGCATTCCCGGGTAGGAATGGGAACGGAGGACCTGGCAACGGCGCTCCCCCGGCAGTAGCGTTTCTCTGATTATCACCCGAGGGGTCGAACGCTCCTGGTGCATAAAAGAATGGCGGTGGCGGTAAAGGGCTTTCGCCTTCTCCCGTAGGGAAGGAAGGGAAAATGGACGCAGGGACACTGCCGTTAGGCGTAAGGAAGACGAGCGGTCCGTCGTCGGAGAGACGTACGGGAAAGGGCGGGGGAATATTCGGTTTGTTTGGTAATTTTACTTGCCTTCTAGGCGCCTCGTAGTTGTCTATTGGTGGCCATACTTTTTGCTCTGGCTCGTTGGTACGTTCAGGGAACGAGCCTCCTTTGATAACTAACAAATGATCTTCAGCTAGCCATATTTCATCTTTCTTAAGACCGCCCAAGTTTTGTAGGTTATCTTTTGATCTAGTCTCTGCGTTAGGCTCATAGCTCAAAATACCCGGCCGCTTTGGCGACTTTGGAAATAATTCGTTCTGTATTAATCCATATTTTCCTTCGGCTACCTGATCAGACAAAGTTTTCTTGTCTTCGTCATCCTCTTTTATTTTCTTAGTCTCTTTGCCCTCCCCCGCGCTGGACATCATCATGCCATCGTCCCATATACCTTGGTTCCAGCCCACATTGCCGCCCGACTGGTCCGGCGCGATCACGCCGGCGAACTTTCCACTTTCACTCTTGTCACTGAAAGTAATGGAATTTTTGGCGCTTCCATACTCTTTATCAGGTTTGATTTTTAGATGACCGCCTATAAGTCGTTTGATAGTCCTTTGCGATTCTGCGGTTTGCGAGTCCTGCGAGGAAGCTAGCGAGCGCTGATCGCGCACGAACGAGTCAGGCGGCAGGACATATGTCGGCACAAGTACGCTGCTGTATGCCGTGCAGCATGTTAGCGCTAGCGTCACTACTAACGCCGCCCCTCTCACCATCTGGAAAAGAGAACATAACTCGTTAATCAATCGCCCTCCGATCTCAAACTTATCTCTTAAATTAAAGCACTTATCTAATTGTTAATTGCGCGCGACGTTCGCGATCACGAACGTGTAAAGTGAAAGGATTAGTGGAGACAAAAACCTCAGCCGGCGCTCTGGAGCACTGAGGTGCCGTGCGCGACCGTTCGCCTTTTATCAACTCCACCGCTGACCACCTCCGACCCGGCTGGCATTGAGAATCGGGCGTTTAATTTGGAAATTAACGAGCAACAAGCACGGGACAGGAAGGCCTCGGGGCGACAATCGAATTTTAAAACTCGATTCGTTAATCCGCCAATCGCCGTGCTCCGTGAATTGCAGTCGGTAATTGTAACCGCCGTTCATTATGAAAGATCTCGATTCTAATTTGTATAATAATCGATCTTGCACATATCGAATTGAATGCATTGGTTTTTTAACTAATTTAACTTGATTAAACTTTAATGGCGCTATTTAACGATCGATAAGCAATTGCAAGTAAAAAGGTAATGGGATCACCTAATTTACTTTTTCCATACATAATAATGTGGTATTCATGTTAATAAAGGCTCGATTATAATTTTAATCTTTATTTGAAACCGAATCACAGTAGGCAGCCGTGGCCTTTGAATTTTTAGTGTGGTCAATACAAACGTGTATGACAAGCTTTGAAATTAATTAAATTGTTTTAATCGTAAATGACTGTACGTGTCTACGTTTGAATTCAATAGGTTTTATGTACAAGGTAAGATAAGTAATATAAGTACACATGAAATATTGGAATGTCTATCTATCATTTGACATAAGTAGCTAGTTTTAAAAATGCCTTTACTAACTAAGGTACCTAGAGAATAGCATTTCTTATTTTTAACCTCTATGTCTTACAAGAGACGAAACATTGTCGATTGTGTTCGCTGTTATGGCAAAAAGTTGAAAGTGAACACTCACTGAATGTTAAACTAGCAATATCCTCCACAAAAGTTCACAGTTAATGAAGTTTGACATTTTGCGGGACTCATCTTGAGTGTATCCTTTCGTTCGACACCAGTTAACCTTCGTAACATGCGATTGTTTTGACTTTTCGCTCGTAATAGCGGAATATACACTTAGTAGTATTTGATGGTTTGTCTTTGTGTTGCAAGACAAGACATTTTTTAACTGCAAGAAGTGATTTTTTATATTTGCGAATCGCGTTTTCTGCTTCGCTCTAGTTAACAATGTTAAATAGACACTTACATAAAAAAAAGGTTTGTTGATAAAACGAAAAAACTTATGGTAAAATTTATACATCCATATCTACAATACTGCCCCCTATCTTCTTAAAGCAGTCAATGTGGCTCAAGATATAATGAGTATTACTTTTATGTATAGGAGTGAGAAAGTTAAAATTTGTAACGAATTCTCCTTGCAAAAGTAGACAGAAAATGAATTTATGAATATCGCAAATATCTTATTTACGTAAAATCGTACGATTTCAATGATCGTAAGTATTGGGAAACTGTAATGCGTTACAGATAATTTGTATTCAGCACTCGCCGATTTCAATTCGCCAACTTTCCAACGACCTTTTGTCAGCCAAATTTGGCTGCAGGATACGCTGCCAACATCGAAATTAACTCGGAAAAACTTTATCACAAGTATCTAATAATACACACGTGAAAAAAAAACAAATGTGAAAATTCCAAGTCTAACTCTTCAAAAGTTTTAAATATATACATGAATGTATAGAGTATCTTTCTTAAAGATAAGCATAACATATTTGGCGCAGCGTAAACCTGCGTAATATCAAGATAAGTAAAAGTTTTAGTCTTGACCAGTCTACCTTCACAGGCGTAAAAAAAAGTAAAATCCCGTTTCCCCCTCGTGGGGCATGCGGCGACAGGTCTTTCACTAAGCCGTTAACAGGCAAGTAGTTGATCAGACTTCTGTGCCCTGTCCGACCGAAACAGTTTTTTGTTTCCCTGGGATTCGAACCCAGGCCCTTTCGCGCTCAACGTAATGCTAGGCAATACGTTTAACCATTTGGCTACAGAGGCGGTCTCACATACACACGGTCACAGGCATAGGTTTTTTAAAATTTTCCGTAACAACAATATCAATAAATAAATCATAAGTAATTCCTAGTACAGTAGATATTTAAATAAACCACCGGAGTGCTGTATAGAATTGAAGGTTTCTCGGCAGTAATTTACGTAATTACGTAGGCAGGTTCTCGACATAATAAAATCGGTACCTACGACACATAATTACAAAGCTCTCCTTGAGTTTGCGGAACGGAGTTTGTATATTTTTTAATTCATTTATAAAAACTAGTGCATGCTCATTGCTACGTGTGTAGTTTCTTCGTATTTCTATAGAACTTTTTAAGCTTAAATTTGGAGGAATTATTGGTAATTGTTAAAAGCAAAATTACTGATACTGTTTTATTCGTGCTTAAACAGTTAACATATAGCATCGACATATAGATCTATCCAAGTGATTATTTTTTATATATCTAATGAATAGACAAAACCTCGTTCGATTTTATTCAACGATAGATTATTATCTACAACTTAATAATTAAAGTACAGACTACTTAACGCCAGAGGCTACGCACGTGGATAAACCATTAGCCCGATCGGAGTTTCGTAACAAAATTAATCGTGGTTCAATGAATTTGCTGAGGCGTGCCATATATTATTATGATAGGCCATTGTCGCGCACTTTCGAAACCGTAGCGAATCGTGTGGCATTGGGCCCGATGCGAACTGTGCACATAGGGTTTAACAAGAATGAGAATTAAACTTTCCACATGACAAGCAATAAGACAAAATACGACTAAACCTCCCTCAACACCTGATTTTTATTATTACAATGAAAACATTCGTTTTATAATAAAAAAATGTATTATTTACATAAACAGACAATACTTTTCTTAAATTTTTAAAATTCTATGTTTTTTTTTAAACATATTTATGTAAACGTTTTAAATAACTTTTCATAACGGAAGACTTACGTGAACGAAACTACAAGTAAATCCTCGGTTCCACTTAGAGTGATTAAAATAACATGCAACTCAATTAGCAGTTTCCAAAATCAAATCGATCAATTTTGACGGGTAATTGATGATTATTATCCGTCATTAAGTTGAACACAGTTAATTAAAATAAAAAAAAACGCTTAGATATACTAATTTGTTTATCTCTTTGATTATATAAAATAAAAAATGTTTTGATGGTAAATACATCCTGTTTTATGAGGCACGGAGCTGTTTATGTGTCGTGTTTAATATTATCTTAATATTGTTTCCGTGGGATTCGACCACAGTACCTCACAATATTATACCGCGACGCATTGTTACGAAACTCGCTTAATTGAGTCACATTTTACCATTGAAATACAGATCAGTCATTTTATCGTCTTATATAATTTGTGTAATTTAATTTAATTGCTATATATGTTATATTGCTGTCACTGTTAATCTAGTTAAATGTATTTTTCTGCATTCATTTGATCAATCTCCATACAATTTGTCATTTGTAAAATGCCAATTGTGTCACGGTTCACTTTACAATACGCATCGGTCAAGGCGAAATACCATCAAGTCGATTCATACCTTTAAAACTAGTCTAGGTCTTGTCACCTGCCCGTCTCCCATTATACCTCACAGATCTATAGATAATGGTTGAAATGATGTTATCTCTTGCAACCTTGTGTTTTATTGTGAGAACTCTTGCCTCGCCGTTTTACTTTACGTGGGCGAGTTTCTGTACATAATGCAGCTCTTACGACTCAAATTACCAAAATCGATTGCAGATTCAGTTTCGTAAACTGTACCAATGTTATATGAAGTAAAAATTTGTCTGGTTGCAAATCTTAATATCCGAAACTATATATTGAGAAAATCTTTTTATTTAACCAACCCCCATTGGTTCACTTTACTATCTGAACCGCTGGGTGTAGTTATAAATGCCCATAATTCCGATCATTTTCTAATGTGTTTTAAACGGGAAGTCGAAATGTTATTTGTTCCATGAGGTCGAAATACGATATTGAAGTTGTGATTGGTTTGAAAGCGCACGCGCCGCCCGGGGCCGAATATTTCGTATTTCCATGATCTGTCGTGTGCTTTGTTATGATTTATAAGTTGAGCATTCAAGGTTAGGAATTGTGCAAGCTTAACGTACAAAATAGTCGGTTTTTACACTACGTTACAATTTGTTACTAAATTTTCAACGAATGAGTAATTTTGAAAACTTGCATAAAAAATTATATTGCTAATAACCCGCATAAATAAATATTTGAACCGCATTGTAAATAAATTAACAAAAAATGTATTGAAGTAATAACACGTAAAGTACGTTTAAAAACATTACGTTTTGTATTTGATGGAGTTGTTTGAGCTAGCCATAATCATGCAAAACGTGCTTCATCGTTTTAATAACGGGGAAGTAGAGCGTCGACCATTTTCGGTTAGATTTCCTACGTCGTTAGAGCGATTTACTTATGTTATTATATTTATTAGGCAGATTTACATGTGATGCACCGCACGATGGCTTAACTACGTGCTATAGTTCTGTAATGAGCGGGCGCTTTCTTTTCTTTGTCAGTTTGCGACTTTCCTGCTTCTTGCTTCTTTGTTTCGTAATTTCGCTGAGTGGCCACATTCAACGGTTATTGTAATCTTCCGTGTAATGGTTTGTTTGTCTAAATTGCTGTTACCGCATCACATTTTCGTGCTTTTCACATAGCGATGCATTGTTGCGAGAGTCACATAATTGAGCCTCATTTACCTACGTGACCCGACGAACTGAGCATTTAATTCGGATTGCATAATCTATATCTAATAATATTCAACTAAGTTTAGTATATAAAAAAATGTGTTCATTTGTTTTCCTACGGCTTAAGCTGATATCTATATATATTGGTTGAAATTGTAGGACTTTGTTATGTGGTAGAACAATGAATAAACACTCAATTGTGTGTGTGTGAAAACATTTATTGACTCGTGCGGGACTTGAACCAGCATCCGCAGGGGTCCGTGCTGCTGCTCTAATCAATGGGGCATCGTAAAATAAAATTAGTTATAAAGTAATTATTTTCAATATAATTAGATTTTTAATGGAATTGGTACTCAAATATTTGATAACCATCTGTTTTTTTTGCAGGTAAGATTTACGAAAAATATCGAATAAGGTAAGTCACGCAACGCTGCCGTAGAGATATTAGATCAGCAAGATCGAAAGCTATGAGGTAAACGCCAATTAGTTGATTTTAGATAATGGCACGTATTAGTTTCAACGTTGTTAAATACGAGGCGGGCTTTTGCAACGCGTTTCAAAATTTTATTTTTTCAACGCTCCGGGCGTTACCTTAGCTGTTTTTCGGAGCGTGGCGGATAATAACCTTATATTGCGGGTCCTTCGTGCTCGAGGAAAGCTGCGTAATAGTTCCGAACTAGTTAATTGCGTTCAAGGAAACGCGAATTTTAAACTAGACCCCACGAACGCTAATGATGAGATTTGAGCCCATTGTTCGGCGACAATTGCCACATACGAATCGTATTGTTTCCTCTAACATTGATAGTTTTTTTTTTATCTCGCTTTTGAGATTTTATAGTTCAGCTTGTAATGTAAATTAAGTTGTGTATGATTTGATGTCGTCGCGTAGGCTCTGTTGTAAAAAGGGCGAAAGTATTGTCTCGGATGTCGGATAGAGAAGTCATTGGTGTACAAAGTTGTTTTCTCTGATTTTTGTCGTTTTTTGTACGATTAAATATTCATTACTATATGATATATGCTTTACTTATGTCACTTATTTTAGTAGGTTAGTTATATTTAATGTTTTTATAATATAAGATATATAAGATAGTTTACTTAGAAATTCATATTACGTATTATAGACTAGATACTAGATATATCTTTACGTGTATCTCTTGTCACCTCACGCCATTTAATTCAATTCTATCGTATAAATTCTGATTCATAGCTCGCTAGTTTTATGACAGCGTAAGGTTGTCATGACAATTAAGGCCTGCAGGTGTTGTGTCATCAAGTGCATTGCTATAATAGGAAATGCCACGTTCTATGTTTTGCATTACGTTTTCTTGCTGACTATACTATGTACAGTTATTATTTGTTGATAAGAAATAGCAAAGTTTTATTCGGTTTTAGAATTTCAATCAATATTTTTATCGCTTGCGTCGAAGCCTGATTAGCCCGGAAACTCGATTGGTCTAACACCATATTCGTTTACATTGAAACTAGTCGTATCCTCAATATATTAATGTTGAAATTCATTAGCGATATCCGCGTTGTTTTCAAAATATCAATTTACAATTCACGAATTTGCCTCAATACACAGTTATATTAGAGTTTCGACACTTCCTCAAAAATGGAAACCTTGACGAATTGTTTGCCGGTATAACTGTTGCTTATAATTCGATATGTACAGTTCTGTGATGCAATATTTTACTGCGTGGACTGTAACACTTTTGGTTCCGCACTTTCATCTCGGACTTGATATAGTTCGCGATATAGTTTTGTTTATGTGATGTAATTCGGTTGACAACGATGCCCAATCGCTGCGTAACCCGGCTTAAGTTTAAATTAGCAACTTGAAGATTTACCGCTATGCGGATATATTTTTGTCGCACGTCGATTCACGAATATCAATTCTTTGAGTATTTTTTATTGGGATTCCCTGAGTGTCGACAGTTCTCGAAGTTTGTTTAGCTGAATGCTATTGAAAGATACGTTCATCTTAAATATTTTAATTTATTGTTGTGCAAACGTTATAATTTAATTCAGATAAAGTTAGTAATGACACCTCGAAGTATATTTGTACTGATTTCAATGGAAATTAGAACTACTACTGTAATCTCATTACGCTTACAAAGACCGTTTCGACTTAACGAAATATTTAACATCGTTTTATTGCTTGTGTTCAAACGATTTACACAATACGCCAAAAGCACTTTGTTTGGATTTTCTCACAGGTGTTTCTTACGTTCGTCATTGAGTCGCCTATGCCTAGGACGTAGTGTGAAACTTATTATATTTAACGATAGCCACAGCATTGTTGCTTTGCATTGTCGACCCCGTGTGATCTGGGTCGCGAATTAATAGCTCAATATGAACACAGGCTTACTTTATCTGATAACGGTTGAGGCTGCGACTGTTTAACACTTCTGGCACATAACGTTCGGTCACTTCACAAACAGTTTGTCACTGGCGTTTGAACACTGGCACATACTGGGATAGACTGGGATGTTTGGTGTCGCCGAGGGTCACAGGCCGTGTGGTGGGGTGAACGTGTGTTCGTGAGGTCGCGCGGCGCATGAGTGCCGCCGGTGGTAGGGGCGCTAGCGTAAATACGGTGCCGTAGACGCGTGCGCACGACACGCACACTACTGTACGTCTACGCTGGCTGACGCACACAGGGTCGCGTTCCAGGCTCTTCAAATTTAGGATCTTTCCCATTTCTTTTGAGCGAAAGGAAAAAAGGGTAATGACCCTCTATTCATTTATAATTTATATAAATGATTCGATATCAAATGGGATTTGAACGACCATAATTATGTCGCTGTTGTTGATGTCCGAGTAATTTTGATGCTTTTTATTTGTTGTCTCTTGTTCTTAGTGGAAAACCTATAAAATAACTTTCCACACGCGATATAGTTTTCTACTGGATACAGTGGTACGTTAGTACCAATACAATGAAACGTACCAAATTCATCCTACGGTATCAAATATATTTTTAATCCAGTTTAAACGGTCTGATTCATCTGTTCCGTGTCAACGACTCCTGCGTCCTTGGAAGGTTGTGTGTGCATCGAAGAAATTATTATTGGTGTAATAATAATTCGAGAAAGTATTAAATTTACGAGCTTGAACCTTTGGAGCTTTTCATAACGAGTTTCCGAAGTTGAGGTTTGAAATGTGATTCTGTTTTTACTTCCATTATCGTCCTTGCGGTTGCATCCTAGTTTTCTCAAAGAGCTAATTATATTCGAATCATTAGTCATTATGTTATTATGACTATGATTCGAATAAAAATATTCATCGGTCCGTTTATACTATTTTAGAAGTATGTCTCACTTTACGTGTTATAAATGTGCAGTTTGAAATTGTATAATCTTAACTAAAATGTTTTTAAATCTGTTTCATATTGCATAATTACGTAAGTAGAGTATAGTGAAGAAGTACAGATTTTCCTGTGAAATCGCGCGAATTCCAAATGTTTATCGATTGATTTGAATGTCATCGACACTAGCCGTCCTCCAAAGGTCGCTCTGCCGATTTGCATAACTTCCATCCATTTAACAAGCAGATGACCGAGGTTTTGTCTGCAAATAAATTCCTAAAATATTTTTCACAATAAAAGGTTATTGTACATAGGTAGCTTATAAAAATAAACATTGATTGCAATATTTTTACGACTTGAAAAGATTTTAGTAAAGTAATAAAAAAAATACTAGAAAGTGGGTAGAAATATCGAACTTGGTCACGGACCACCGTCCACTATTAAAAAATCTTTAAAGTTTAAACGTGTTTTAGTTTGTCAGTTTCCCGACATTGATAGACAAAATGGTCGATAGCGCATCTTAATTAGATGTTTAAAGGGCTTCGGTATTTCACCTTTCATCTTTTAACCACTATAGTTATAAAGTCCGAACGATATGAGCTTAACTCAACTTCCTTTTTTCAAATGTATATCGCCACGACTTCAATACAATACGATATGCACCCGGATCTGTTATAATAAGTCAAGCTCGGAATGCGGCTGGGTCTAGCCCGCAATGGATTATGGTGGTGATGGGGTTATCGCACCGCGGATGATGATTGCGTTTTTTGTTTACATTCGACGGCTTACACTACCTTGGACTGGTTTTCTGGTGTTGATGATTCGGGATTGTTATGTAACGTTTAACAAATTCCATAAATATAATAATATTGTCAGAGGGGTCCTATATTAGCATACAGATTAAGTTAACAAACAAAATCACCTTTTGGCCATTGCCATTATAAAGATGTAGTATCGCGCGTGCGTGTGCCTTATTTATTTATATTACCTTCGAAACGGCATCATCGATTATAATGTAATTTGAATGTTCTTAATAGTGCGCGTAAACAGTGAATTATGTTTTATTTCCTAGTGTTGTATAGATAAGATTTTCATAATTATTATCATTAGGTTTCGTATGCTAAAAATCAAGATGGCGACGCTATTTTTATGTTTACAATGATCTGTACGTATTTTCATCTTTGTAGTAAGCGCGTGTTCGACAAAGCAAATATTGCAAAATCAAATATATTTGTGAGTGCTGTTAAAAATATTTGATCAGTTCGTCATCGTCGATGTTTTATTTATACTTCTTTTGTTTAAAATAATTGCCGATGACGTCTTGTTTCATCGTCGTCTTCATATAGAGTTCGTATTAGCTAACGTTTTTCAATTTATCTTTACTTAGTTATTGACGTATCTTTGGTGTATGTATCTAGTAATTTTGCTGGTACTATTTTTTTATACAAAACTTATTTTTTTTTGTAATTTGTCTGTATGAAACAGCCATTCATGTTGACAAACTATTGAAATTTTTTCGCACAGTTCTTGACGAAACCTTTGCACCGTTGACATTAAATTGGAACCAGATTTACACATTTCGAAACACCAATGCAGGCAGAGCCGGGAGCGAAATCTTATAGATTATATAACGAAGTTCAAGATTTAAGGTCACCACTCCACCCCGCTCCCAATTAGGGAGATGTCTTCTCGGAATCGTGTTTTCGGCGGTGTCGCGCCGTGCCGCATTCCGCGCCAGCACGGCGCTCCTCCGTGACCGTCGGTGCGACCTTATACCGCCGTGTTTTCCCGCTTTTTGTAAACACGAGATAATCTCGATGATTAATTGAAATATTATTGACTACTTGCGCGATTTTAGTAAAAAACATAGTTATGTAGAGTTTTTCATTATTCTCTACGTGCCCGGTTTCACGGTCACAACTCCTGCGCAACTAAAGACGGTTTTTCGTTTAAAATTCTTTCGGAATGTGGTGTCTTAAATATACGCTTAAATTAATAGCATACGTAACAGAAACAAATTAAGAATAAGGTTTAATTAAATCGCTCAAAAACTATAGTCAATATACCTACTTTATTTTTGCCCTATAACTGTTTAAATTTCACCATTAGTTCCTTCCAGGTCTTGTCGCGGGTCCCCTTTTTTTAGAAACAAACGTTTTTTGCGGAATGAGGAAATATGCAATGGAGCTTGCGTTACGTAAAATATTAATAAAGAATAAAGATGTTGACCAAGTTATGGTGTTCACTTACGTAACTCTATCGATTGTGTTATAAGTTAACGTAATAAAAACGCATTGAGTTATAGATAGATTAATCTCAAAAGACCAATGCCTGGCGTTTGCCGAGAATAATATAATCTGGTAATAATTTTGAATCCGGGTCGATATGCGCAGGCGCCGGACCAGTCGCGCTGTCTAAATCATTTTATTAATACTGATGCGTTTTTGGAATACATTATATCAGTTTCTAAGAGTGCAATGATCTACCCCTCAAACGAAATCTATTCTAGTATACTAGAGAATATTATTACAAAGTAAGCGATAACATATATACACATTTGTATAATATGTTCTTCACTATTAAATTTTATTGGATTTACTTCCTTACTTAGAAAACTATTTGTTATTAGTAAATCAATTACTACGGGTGCTGAGAATCGTTTAGGCCGACGATGCGATAACCACGATAAGCGTTTGCGCATATTATATAATGTGTGTAAGCTCGAATGACATCAGTGTAATTACATAGCTTGGAAAGTTCAGATTAAACATTGCATGAGTGAAATGTTGTGAACCAAGTGGGTTACTAGTTTTTATAATATTAAAAGAGTGTTAAATGATTGTAAATTGTATTAGTAATTTGCATCATAAAGTTTGATTTGTTTATTAAAAAATATGTTCTTACGTAAGGCTTCTGTGCGTTCATTATTTTAATCGAATTATAGCGGTTGTTAATCTAATGAATGTTAATTTTTTTGTTTTTTACTAGAAAAAACTAGAATATTATTAGAAATTATAATAATAAAGAACAAAATTCTTCCTGGATATAGCTATAGCTAATTAAAATAAAAGATTTACCTTCTTAAATTCTAATGACTAATTTTTTTAAGAAAAACGCTTTTAATGGCCTTAGTGTCGCCGGTTGTGGCGCCAGACGCTTGTTTTTTAATAATTATTTAATCGAATCGATTTTGTTATTGTTTATCATTCGCTTATTGATGAGCTCTGATCACTGGCGACATCTGTCGAAACTATTCCGTGACGTCAACGATTTTAAGTGGACCCGTTTTGTGACAGTGTGGTGGTCAAATGTTTTGGATTTTTGACATTTTTGTCTTGTTTTTATGTGTTTTTGTTATTCGTTTTCTGTGAGTTTAAAGGTGCTCTAGAGAAAATAAAGAAACCGAGAATTGTAAAAAATTGAGCAAATGATTTTCACTTAAAATTAAAGGCCTAGAGCTCCGTATTACTGTATTCTTCTTTATAATTAAGAGAAAACGCGCCTTAACTATATACTCGTGTCTCTATTAAAAATATACAAGTTTGTTCGGATTTCACGTTCTAACATCTTGTCATTGCCAATCGGCTAAAAAATGAACGCACAACATTTCTAACGTACATTCCTGGCATACACGAGGTGTAATTCATTCTTTCGATGTGTTATTTAGCACATCCTGTATAATATACGTGTTAGAAAAAAGAAAGAGCATTAAGCACTGACGATTAAAAAATAACACAAGGTTTTCTTATTTCTTACTAATCAATTAAAAATATTGATGTGAAAATTATAAATAAATACGTAAAGTAAAAACTTAAAGTAAAAAAAATCTACGATAAGTATTTGCATCTAAAAAGGCATGTAATTGTGAAATATTTATTCCCGAAACAAAACAATCATATACCATTGACAAATAAAAAGAAAATGTAATTTTACATGTTAGTGCCTATAAATATATTGATTAAAAAATAAAACCAGAAAAGCAATATATTATATTTGTTCGTGGTTAGTATGTACAAGTACAACAAATAATCTCATTAGTTCGTCAATTATAAAATGTGTTTAGTTACCTACATTTTTTATTTAATAAACAGTTCGTTCATGACTTATATTTTCGCATAATTTCTCATACGATGTTGCAATTCCAGCCTTGTTCCAATTATGTAGTACATATATATTTAGCACCTCCAGATGCGAATTTTCACGCTTAGTGCGTTATGCAAAGCGTTCACTGTATTTAATAAGGTGTTCAATGTATAACATTCAAAGCTTGATTAATTGATATTTTCTTGGTAAAAGGAAGTTTATAAGTATTGCACATAAGTATTGTTTTAAACCTCATTTTAGTTACGCAGCAACGTTAAGCAGTGAAATAGTTTTAATTACCTTGTTATCTGCA